ATCGGCGTCGGCTGCACATGTCTCTGTCTCTCACGAGTCCTGGCGCGAGATGCCTCGAGGCACCACCGAGTAGAAAGTGATTTGGCGTCAGAGCCTCTGGATCTGTCGGCTCTGAGCTGACGTGGGTCAGGGGTCGACTGTTGACCATGTGCTCAACTTCAGTGAGCACCGTCACCAGCACTTCGTCTGTGAGCGTCTGTGTACCCACCACCTTCGTCAGAGTGCTCTTCACCGATCGAATCAGCCTCTCCCACACTCCCCCCATGTGGCTAGCAGCCGGGGGGTTGAAATGCCAGTCCACTTCGAAGGCGCTGAGATTTTCTGCGATCTCCCTTTCCATGGCTCGTAGCTCTGCCTTGAGTTCGCGACAACTTCCCACGAAGTTGGTCCCGTTATCGGAGAAGATGACTGATGGTTTCCCTCGCCTTGCGAAGAACCGCCGCAGTGCCATGATACAGCTGGCTGTGTCCAGGCTGTGCACCACTTCCAGGTGGATTGCTCTCGTAGCCATGCATGTTGCGAGCAGTCCGTAACGCTTTTCAGTCCTGCGGAATCGCCTCACGTATAGCGGCCCGAACATGTCAACACCCGTACTGCTGAATGGCCGAGCGGTGTCAAACCTTGCTGTAGGCAGGCTGGCCATTTGTGGGGGCCTCGGGAGTGCTCTGAGCCGCCGGCAAGTGGGACAACCTCGCAGGAGTCGTTTCACGGCAGCTCTTCCCCTCACGACCCAGTACTTCTGCCTGGTTTCGTTCAATGTTTGCTCAACGCCTGCGTGACCGCAGTTCTTGTGCTTCTGCAGAATGACCAGGCGGGTGACTTCACCTCGAGGGGGAAGTATGACCGGGTGTCGGGCATCTTTTGAGACTGACGCGTTTCCCAGTCTCCCGCCAACTCTCATCAGGCCATCGTCGTCGAGGTATGGTGAGAGCGGAAGTAGACCACTCTTCCCAGGGAGCTCTTTCTCCAGCGCCAGGCTGCGAGTTTCCTCCGGATAGCTTGTCCTCTGCGCCTGTTTCAGGATCCAGACTTCGGCGTCTCTGAGCTCTTGGGCACTGAGAGGTCCGCTGAGGCGCGTTTCAGCGTCTGAGGCGCGCATGGCTGCGTTGTGAGTGAAACGTCTCACCCAGGCCGCCACTCGACGGTACTTGAGCCAGCACGAGAACTTGGTGGCGTCTGGTAGCATGGGCTGTCGTTGGAGTGTGAGTCCAGCGAATTTCTCTTCCTTCACTTCTTCCTGTCCTGCTCTGAGCGGGCTTGCGTCTTGCTTTGATGGCCAGTCTTCCTCATCTTGCCACAGAAATCTGGGTCCGCGGAGCCATCTGCAGTCTGGCGTTAGCTCTGACGCGGCCAGCCCTCTTGAGCAGTCGTCTGCAGGATTCAGCGTTCCTGGCACGTGACGCCACTGCTCCTTTCTGGTCAGGTCGTCGTTGCGTTTGAGTCTTCGTTCCGTGGCTTCGAGCCGTTTCATTGCGATCCGTCCGTTGTCGGGGAGCTCCACCCGGTCTTCCTTCCGCAGCATGCCTGTTTCATACCTGTCCGGCGGCTCTTTTGTTTTGCCTTTCAGGATTGACAGCGCACGATCATCCTCCCGGGACTGTTCTACAGGCTCGTCGTACTTGGTCCCAAAGGCCTCCGTGCACCAGTCCTTCACGGTGGTTGCTAGCTCGTCGTCGCTGCTCTGGGCGTTGCGTTGCAGGAACATAACCTGGCGCAGGCTGCTTGGCTCCACTGCTGATATGGAACCAGCCAGTGCCCATCCAAACCCGGTTCTTATAGCTGCTGGCTGGTTGGAACGACCCACTCGTACTTCCTGTTGGAGAACGGCTTCCAGCACGTTCCCTCCGAGCAGCAGTTTCACTTCACCGCCATCATACTGCGGAAGTGCTAGTCCACGGAGATGTTTGCATTGCCTGAGTTGGCGGTGAGATACCGTTGGGGCAGTCACATTCAGTGATGGTACAGCCCAGGCTTCAGGGATTTCGATGTACCCTCTCTTCACACCATCGCCGAGCGCGCTGACCGTCAGGGTAACGCGTTCAGATGGTTTCTGAGCTCCGCTTCCCTCCACATTTTGGATGCAGAGCTGGCGAAGGTCCCCGGTGATGCCCAACTCCTGCAGGACGTCAGCGCTGCACAGTGACGTTTGCGCTCCGGTATCTAGCAACGCCAGCACGTCCTTTGATTTGGTCGCTCCGTGGACGCGAACCCGAACGACCTGCAGCAGTGTGTCGGTCTCATTGCTGAGGGAGGCTGCTACAAACGGCGAGTTGCATTTAGCTTGCGGATATGGTGCCGCAGCCGTTGCTGATCCGCTCGGAGAGTCTTCTTCCCTTGAGCTTCCGTCCTCGGGTCTCGCGTATCCTGAGCTTCTGTGTAGCATTGGATGATGAGTGAGCTTGCAGCCCTCCACTCCGCATTTCCGAGAGGATCTGCATCTCCTGGTCCAGTGGCCCTTCCTCAGACATGAGAAGCAAAGGCCGTTCTCGTACACCATCTCCATTCTCGCTTCCAATGTTTTCTTCTTGAATGACGGGCAGTCAGCCACCCTGTGATTATCGCCGCACACCAGACAGGGTGGCAGCGAATGTGGTTCCACTTCTCCAGCTCCATGAGTCGCTCCAGTCGCGAGCGCTGTCCTCCGCACCGCTCCTTCACGCTGCGTGCCGGCTGCATTCCGTTCCGACGTTCCAGACTGAACTGCCGAGAAGCTGAGGATGCTGACTTGCACCTGAAGCCATTCGCTGAAGGTCTTCAGAGTGGGTCGTTCTGGCCGTAGCCGAAACACTTCACGACCCCATTCTCGGGCCAGCTCATTCGGCAGCTTCTCCACCACCCTCCTGAGGTTCTCACTACTGGACAGATCGCTTGAATAGCCAAGATTCTGTAGGACGGTCACTGTGTTATGAACGATGGCGTAGAACTTTTCCATGGCTGGAAGATCCGTGAGAGCTGGTGGGTTGGAAGTGAAGATTTTCCTCAAGTGACTTTGGATGATATCTTCTTCTCTCCCAAATCTTTCTTGTAGGGTTCTCAGAGCTTCCAGGTAGAGGCTGCCATTGAACAACATGCCTTCAATAGCTTGGGCTGCCGGCCCTTCTACGGCGTTCTGCAAGTGAGCCATTCGCTCTGAGTCCGATAGAGACGGCTGGTCGTGGACGAGCGCCTTAAATAGGCCGATCCAGCGAGGCCACTCTTGAGGGCTGCCTCGGAAGGTAGGCAGCGTCAGACGTGGTATACTTTTCACGAATGCTGATGGGCCCGGGACGTCACATCGCCGCTCGGAACCCAACGCTGTCACCCAGCTGGTTGGGTCCTGGTTGGCAGCTCTCGGCGTCTCGTCGGCCATCGGAGAGGTACTAGTAGCTTTCGGTGGCGGCGGCTCGCGCCGGAGCTCTCCCAAACCACTGACCACGCGTTCTTGCTCTTGCTCGTTTCCCTTCTCGCGGCCGCATCCGGTGTTGTTTTGACGACAAGGCGCCACTTCCACAGCGACCTCATCTTCAAAGTCGTGTCTTCGTTCCCACTCCAACTCGTTGCCCGCGGCCCTCCAGAGACGCGCCTTCACAGCTGCACGTTCCACCTCCTCTTCTAGAGCCCTTTCTTCCAGCAAATCTGCTTGTTTTCTCATCTCTCGGCTTGCTTCTTCCATCGCTCGTTCTCTTTCCTTCCTTGCTTTGAGATGCTTCAGTTCGAGAGCTTTCAATTCCGCGGTGATTTCAGCCTCCTTGAAAGTGGCTGAAGCCTTTGAGCCTCGTGATATGTGAGACCCGCACACTTTGCTTCCTTCCTCAAGTTGCACCGATGGTAGGGGGAGCATTCCTGTGCGTGACGCTGAGCGGCTCGCTGATGGGCGAGTTATCGCCTCTTCAATTCTTGCGACCGTTTCGGCGTGCCGTGCTGTTATTCTTGTGGCGTACTCCTCCGCTTCTTCCAGCTCGCTCACATCTTGCAACTTCTCTACAAACTCCTCATTTGCCTCCATGAAGGCGTCCAGCGTTGTGTGCAGCGTCTCGAGCCGCTTCTTCAATTCCTCTTCACTGGCTCGCCGCGCTATTTGCGCGTCAGCCCTGTTACACGAGCGTGTGAACATGGCCGCCTTGCGACCGCGATGAAGCTTTAATGCTTTCCGTTCAGCGGTGATATCTCCATTCTCTCCTCCTACAGGGTCGCCGTTCTCTGGCATCGTCTCCCGGTCCTCCGTCTCCGTCTCCTCTTGCCCTGCAGGCTCGCAATTCTCAGGCGTCGTCTCCCGGTGCTCCGTTTCCATCGCGTCTTCCATCGGTCCACAATACTTCTCAATCCGACTGACACGGTGGGAGCAGAACTTATCGACGTCACGGACGGTTGTTCACGCACAGTATCGACTTATTGTACATTCTCTTCTAGACTTCTTACTTTCTTGACTGATACCATCCGGCCCGGAGGACCAGCGAATGTTGCGGACGTCTCTGGCTTTCTTGTGTGGACTGTATGTGTGTTTGTTACGTCTCGCAGCATTCGGGTTTGGCGGCCGGGGGAATTGTGAGAGGATGTAGGATTAATAGAGGCAGTGAACGAAAAATGAAGAAGGGAAGTATCTAATCGGTAAATAAATAAACACGGATGAATAATTTACGGATCAAAGGTTCAACAGCGCCCGTCTCAGAGCGCATAAGGAGCACACCTCGCGGCATGCATGTTGGGTCGTTCAACAGCGCCCGTCTCAGAGCGCATAAGGAGCACACCCCGCGGCATGCATGTTGGGTCGTTCAACAGCGCACGTCTCAGAGCGCATAAGGTGCACACCTCGCGGCATGCATGTTGGGTCGTTCAACAGCGCCCGTCTCAGAGCGCATAAGGAGCACACCTCGCGGCATGCATATAATGTAGGATGACAGAGGATTGATAGGAATAGTGAGTAGACCCGGCCACCGTGAGAACTGTGAGCTGCGCGCCGCTCTCCTTTCCTCCACTCGCCACTTCGGTTTCACTCACACCACCACCACTTAAACACAGTCTTCTAAATAGAAGAGTTCGCTATTGACCGAAGACGGCGAGATGGCAGCAGTACAGCACAGACACAGTAGTTAGAAAAGTTAGACGTGAGCGGCAGCAGAGCGCCGCCGTCCGCGTTTGAGAGCGAAGTGAGCTCGTCGGCGACTAACAGTGAAGTGAGACCGAGCAGAGCCCGGTATCGGTTCAAATACACGGCCAAGAATGTCATGCGATACAGGGGTCATGACATTACACACAAAAAAGGCGGCAGGCACGCCGCGTCCCCTCGCCCGCCCTCTTAGTTCCCAGGCTCGGGGCCCCGCCGGCCCCATTCGGAACAGGTGACAGGTCAGCCGGGTCGCAGGGTCACAGGGGGACGCCAGTCCACCGTTCGCGGCGTCGATATGGCCCATTGCTTCTGTCTCAGAAAAAGCCATGCGCGGCGACAGGTGGCCGCTGGGCGGGCGGCGGCCCGGCTCGGCGGCGGGACCGGCGGGGCGGGGTGACGGGCGGCGCGGCGGCGGCTCGGCTTGGCATCGGCGGCGCGACATTCGCCTAGTTTGTCGGCAACAACCACTGCTGGAAAGCGGAGATCGTCTCTGGATTGGACGTTTGTAACAACGCCACGCCAGTGGAATCACGCCAGCACTATTGTAAATTGTACCAGTTGAACCCTCCGCTCGGAATGCCAAGCAAACTGCGGCTACACAGTCACACAGTTATAACAACACAGCACAGTCGATCCGGGCCGCAGGCAGTCTTATCACGCGCCTAAGCGTTCTCACGGGATGTCGAGCTTTGTTCCAAAAAAGAGCGTTAGAAAGCGAGCGAGCGCCGACAGCGCCCCTGACGGGCGGTGTGCAGCGCCTCTAGCGGTCAGCCGCGGAAACAGTATCTGACCTGCGTCCGTCAGAGCTCTGTTTTGGGCGCGCCCGGCGGTGAGCGCATGTATGAAAAGAGCGCGTCCGCTGTGCGCTCACCGTTATAGTCAGCTACCACCTGGCCGCCGCGGAACAGCTTGATTGTCGGGAAGCCCCGGATGTCAAATCTGGAACAAAAAGGGAGGAGAATTGGTTCGTGCTTCGAGCTGTGGCAGGCGAAATAAGAAGTTACATTTACCACAGTGACTGAAATCAAACCATACATCAAATAACAACTAGTACCACAGACGCAACTATTTCAGAAGCCGTCGGAAGTGTTTCCCATTGTGACTCACCGGTCCTGGAGTCCCCGCTGCACTGTCGCGTCTACTGTGGCCACCACACCCGCCTGGCCGGACTTGGCGAGGCGCGCCGCCGCCTCCGCATAAGCGGGCTTCATCCGCTTACAGTGACCGCACCCTGGTGGTTGACGAATGGGTCACACGTGTGGACGGACAGACGATGGTTCTGACGGGGTGACACGTATGACTTAAACAGACATCAATAAATGACTGACGGCCGGAATAACTAGAGGGGAGTCACAAACACAGCAGAAAGAACCAACTCCCGTGTTTCCTCAAATCGCTCATCTCTCAAACCGACTCGTCCTGTCCTTACCGAACCCACTCCGTACCAAGCCTCCCCCACTCACAGGGCGCATAAAACATGACGAGCATGGGGTCTGCCTGTCGCGCCGCCTGGTCGAACCCGGCGTCCGTGAGGTGCTTGAGGTGCTCGGCGCCCGGTAGGTCGCCCCACTCCTCCTCCGGGGCGGGCGCCGGCGGTGCGGCCGACAGAGGGTTGCTAGGGTCGCGCATGAACTTGACAAAGTCCGATTTCTGTGGGATAGAGCCGTGAAGAAATCGTCAAAATTTGTGTGAGGTAAAGCCACAGCCTGCATCACAGGAAAGGCGATAATGATGTTTGATCTAAACATTAACCACGTGAGCACTGAGCACTGAAATAAAACAAATATCCGGTTGCAAAAAGTCAAAATGAGTTAGAACGCAAAGTCTTACAGAGACGATTTGCCACGACAGAGTAACATCCATCGTTACACCTGTCCAACAATTATGCGATTAGTGTCGAAATATGCGATCGCTATTATCAACGGCTTACAGACAACGGCTTCATACCATCTCATCTCATAATTCGACACTCATTACGCCTAACCCACTGATGTCCAACACTGTCCCAAAGGTCATTGAAAAAAGTAATCTCTCCACGGACGACACCACTAATCCATCACCGGCCTGCCCCAGACATACCGTCCGGCCGCCGTCATATGGCTTCGACGTCTTGAAATAGTTGTAGTACTTCATCGTGGGGTAGCCCTTGACGTCGTTGGCATTGCAGACAGCCGTTTCGACTGTGCAGTCCACCGCCGCGAATTCCACCTGTCAAAACACAAATGATGAACTGGTTGTGCTCATTGGTAGGGTAGGGGCACAGCTCAGCTATGTGCTGTGCAGAAAACTGCGATGAACTTAGCAACTGGCGTTACCGCAAGCCACGGATACTGTCAGAACGGAATGATGCCTTTCCAAACAACTATGCAGGAAATCGTACACAAACAGCTTGTTGTTGGCTTCACCGCAATGCCCAGCCGGTGAATAACACAACAAAAGCCTTTGATCCACCAGCGACCGATGACAATAGGGAACGGGGACAACGATTGCAGCCCGCATCCGGATGCCACAGCTTTCAAGCAAAACATTTTACGTGCAGGCCTACATGGAGTCCACAGCCGACCAAATGCCAACTGCTTACCGCTCAGCGATGCTTGCACGTGTTCGGTACGATCACATGTAGTACCTAAGTGGAGTACATCAAATCGTTCGGATATTGCTAAACCTTGTAACGTGACCCCTCCCCCTTCAGACTGCCCCCTGGACATCAGCCTACCTTGGGGTCGTCACTGAACTCCGCAGCCGCCGCGCTGAACTCGGGCTTGGCCTTCTTGCAGTGGCCGCACCAGGGCGCGTAAAACATCACCAGAACGTGCTTCTTCTTCTTGAGGAACGCCTTGAACGTCTGGTCGGTGAGGTGCTGCACGTCGGACGTCTCCTCCGACCAGGGCGTCTCGGGCGGCGGCGGCGGCGGCGGCTCCTGAGGGTCTGCCATGAACTCGAGGATCTTGTCTTTGTCGCGCACGTTCAGGTCGAAGGCCATCTCACCGTCGCGGAAGTACTTGACGGTCGGGTAGCCCTTGATGTCGTACCGACTGCCAATCACCTGTTGAAGGGGTGATGGCCACACAACGGGTGTGGATGGCACACGAACCCTGAGCGGTCGACGACTTAGAACACGTCCCAAAATAGTACATAAGTACGGCGACATAAAATGGCATTAATGGCATAATTACGGCGACATGGTATTTAAGCATTTCCCCTAAAGTTGCAACGGAAATTCCCATAACACAATTTTCGTCGTAACAACTTCCATCGGATAATTCAAGTAACAAAGAAAGTGTCGCTCACTCGACACAAATAGTCCCGCTGCTCCCAATCCCTAGTAACATGAGACTATTCAAACATTCCCTCCTAGCTTTAAAATATTTGATCCACCCTCACTATAGGGGTGTTCTCTGGCTCACCTTGTGTTCGGTGGCATCCAGGGCGGCCAGAACGCCCGACTTGCCGTCTTTCTTCATGGCAGCTGCCGCCTCCTCGTACTGGGGCTTCATCCGCTTACAGTGTCCGCACCAGGGCGCGTAAAACATCACCAGGACGGACGGGTTGGCCTGCGAGACGGCACGGCCCGCGCGGCGGTCAGAGAATAGCAACGGTGTCTCAAGCTCCAGAAACTGAACATGTAACATCGTACAGCCCTCTGCAAACTGCGTGGTATTTTTTTTCGACAAAAACGAGAATAACGCGAATACTATGTTATCGGTCACTCGGAAATCGTAACAGCAAGACGCGTGAGACTCCGCAGTCCGCACCTTAGGTTGGCATCATCACCGTATTCATTTTCCATCTAGTTCGGCAACTAAACCCAAAAGTTTATATTTGCCCCCAAAACAAACTTTTGCATTTTGTACCACGCAGTCTGCTGAGGGCTGTACGTTAGTGCAAGTGCTTTGTGTGAAAGATACTATTTAAAAGGAGCAGACATCACACTCAATACTAAAGGTGCAAAAGGTGATTGACAAAGACGTTACAAAATGTGTGCCATGATTACAATAAACATAAAAAACTTATTTTCTACAATTACCTTGACAAAGTCGTCAAAGTTGTTGTCGGTGAGATGGACCACGTCGCTCGGAGTGTCGGCCCAGACCTCCTCTTTGGGCTTGGGCGCCGCCTGGCCGGGGCTATCCATAAACTTCATCAGACCGTCCTTATTGTACTCTCCGTCATACGTGAACTTTACGTCGCCCTTCCTGTGAATAGAATGTCAGCAATACATGATTGATACAACCGACGATTAGTCCGCCCTTAGGGGCAACAGCAACGCATTCACGTGACGCTCAATCGACCCGACCACGAAACTTAGTACGATAAATAAGTGTCACGACTCAATATTCAATAGTCGCCCCGGTCGCGCCCCATCCATCACCCACTCACACAAAGTAGAGAAGCGTGGGGAAGCCGGTGATATTGTACTTTTGCCGCACGCCGTAATTCTCCGGCTGGTTGACGTCAATAGCGGCAAACACGTGTTTGTCTCGCGTCTCCGTGGCCGCTGCCGCGTACTCGGGCTTTATCCGTTTGCAGAATCCGCACCAGGGAGCGTAGAACATGACGAGCGCCCTGTCCTCGCGGCGCAGCAGGCCGGCCAGCGCCTGACGGCAGACGCACACCGGTCAGCGCGCCGACGGGGGGTGTCGGGTTGACAGTCGCCCACCCGGCCTCTCCTCAGTGTCAAATGTCGTGACCAGTGCCCTGGTCGTGACATTCAGTGACTGACCATAAACCCTAGAGAGCAGCGTAGGTCCGTTGTCTATGCATATCGGCTGTGTTCGAGAAGGGGGCATAAGTGAGCTCATGACAAGTGATTTTACGTATTTCCACAACGACGTGACATTGATTATACACAAACCAAGATACACAGCGAGTGGGGGGGGGGGGGGGGCACTCAGCCCACGAGCCTTCGGTACCTGAGCGTTACTGAGGTGAACCACGTCCTCCGCTGTGGCGTCTTCCTCCCAGGGCAGGTCGCCGGACGGGTCCCGCATGAAGTTCACCATCGACGTTACCGTCATCTTGCGGTCGTAGTCCTTGTGGAAGGCGCCGTCTTTGTAGTGTATCAGCGCCGCCGGCTCCGGCGCCACCTTGTATTTCTTGCAGATCTTGCGGCCCTCGCTGCGGGAGATACGCGATAACCGATGACATTGACCATATGTGCAGCAATAAATATCCACTGTGTATATCAAAGAAACGACGGTTGACGACATAAACAAAGTCAGAATTCAGAAACATCTCAAAAATTGACCTGACATGTTAATTGCTCAGTAGTCGAGCATGCTTGATAGATAAGATATCTGATATCTTCCAACCTATGAGAACCATATGACACACGACGAAAAACAGTGAAGTGGCAGCGTCGCCAGCCCTGAGCCGCCGAGCCGTAACCGTACCCGCTGCAGTCGACGTAGAACACCGAGCCGACGCCCTTGACCTGTTCGGCCGTCAGGCCCACCACACGCTTCATCTCCTTGGCCACGCCGGCGCTCTTGACGAACAGACAGAGCACGTTCGGCGTCGTCTTGAGCAGCTTCTTGAACTCCTTGGGGTCCTGCACGTCGACGACGGGGCTGGCCTTCCTAGCCTGCTGCTGACTCGGCAGCATGCAGCCGGCCTGGACAGCGGAACAGCGCAAAGGGGGAGTCATTTGGGCTAGACCGATGCTCGGTGCCTGTTTCTTTTAATCTGTCTTCTTAATCTTGATCACTAATTGTTCGAAGAATTTCATTAATGAGAGGGCGAGAAACACCAGCAAGTTGACAGCATAATCAAATAATGATGACACAACTGATTCGACACTTATTGGTATTCCTAATGGAGCTCACGAAATGCTACTAGTTTGAGCTGTGAAAAGGCTGTGAGCTTGCCTGAGCTGTGAGCTCATTCTTCTAATTGCGCTGAGAATCAATGACTAGGGGATGGACCAGACACCTCGACACCTTGATAGGATTTAGATGCCTGAGACTTTACCATCATATGCCAATGGTGATGGGTCATGAGCTCCTAAACTTTGGAGAAAGCATCACAGCTAATAGGAATGCATTTTCTCAGAAGACCACAACAATAAAAGGTCTTGCCTTGCAAACAAGAATACAGCACCTGCAATATGCATGCTTGTTTCATACTTTACCAATTAGAGACTTTAAGCAGCAAACCCAGCAAAGGTGTGCAGCTATACTTTTTTGTGCAGGTTCTGTTCCAATATTTTTAACACATGCTTATACAACACAATTTTCTTCTGTTTGCTGTAGCTCATCATTTATCCAGAGATTCAATCTGATCCCTTTTGAAAGGTTAGTTTGAATTGAAACAAGTAAGGTCCCCTTAGATGAGGCTAGGACAGAGTTACAGAAACATACTGTTCAAAAATAGCAATCTGAAATGCCTATACATGTTAATAATATTGCATAGTACCTAGGTACTCAAAAGCTCAATACATTTACCTACTTTCCTGCTTAGACTATCTACAGGCAGTTGCAGACAATTATACATAACTTACCAGAATAAGTATGGCCAGTAAGGCTTTTTGTGTCCAAAGCATGATGCCAGCAGATTGTGTGGGAGTCACTGACACAGCACTTCAACTTTCATCAAAAATGCTCCTGAAAAGAAGAAAAATATTGAGGTAGCTTGATGCACCAGGCTAACTAAAACACATATTTATTTTTGCATTCAACTATGTGAATTTTATGACAAGTGACTTGCTCTAGTGCCTAGTGGTTTGTACTTAAGCAATGAACTGTATCACCAGCCAAACAGGAGTAAGGTAAGTTACAAAATATCCTGGACTAAGAGTTTAAAATGCCCCAGCACACTGATGCTGATTTCCTGGTCGCTGTTCATGCATAAGTTGATGGAACATCAGTCATACTCAATAACAGTATGCCCACACAATCATTTCAGTTCTTAATCAATAAGCATGCTAGTGCCAAACCACATGCTCTAGCTCATGTCATATTGACATGAAAAATATTGAATAGCATTGGCAAAGGCCACATGAGAATATTTGTCCATTCATTTCACATACAAATTTGCATTAAGTTATGTCATAATTCAGGCAGCCTGGTAGGCACTAGGCACATATTCCAGGCTCTATCACTCAGCACTTATTCAAAACTGAAAAGTTAGGGTATTTCAATTTGTTACCTTACTCATGATTAATGCCAACCAGCAGCTAAATAATCAGCCGGCAACATTTCATCACACAATTTAAGCTAAAACTGCAGTCAGTATGTAGCCTATGGACTTCAATGTAAAAGTAAACACATAAATGAAATGAGCATACCTAGCAAAAGCTGGAAGCCCTGTTTGGAATATTTTTATCAGCACTCTGCTAATTTCCTTGTATGTGGAGGCACAGTTCTGATATTTTAGGCCTCTTGTTAATGAAATAAATGGGCAGGGGACATGATTATATTTAATGAGAAGCTAGAAAACACCAGTATGCTGGCAGCCTGCTGATAAAAACAGTGATGGATCACCAAACAGCAGCCTGTGAAGGCCAAGGGACCCTAATGGAGGATGCTGCAAACTGAAAAATTAATGATCAAGAAACAGATGATAATATGGAAAACCTATTCAGTTTCAATAAAACATGATAAACAAACATTCACATAAAAATCACTTCCTTGTCAGCTCCAACTGAAGGTCAAAGTTGAAACGAGTGTTGGTGTACCTATATCGCATCCCAAAAGCAGCTCTCAAAATACCACTAGCCTGAGCTGTAAATCAAGTACATATAAGACTAGAACCAAATCAACAATCATCAAATTAAAAACTCAAAAACATCATACCTCTACTCAAGCGACCAACGACAGGATAAGCAACCCTTGAAGCAACCATAAATATATTTTGCACTTATTGCGCACTTATGGCCGCATTCCGGTGCCGGTGCGTCACTTCTGCCGTGTAAAATGGTAGCATTAAATTTGCGAAGGCGTGCAGCCATATTGAAGTATACCCTCCTCACCTCACAGGGAATAACTCTGATATATCTGAATTTGCTCTGAATAATTCAGGCCGCGGACAATACTAAACCGAACCGAGCTTATAAATGCTGGATGACGATGAACTAACTAAACTAAATCATCTAGTATTGCAAGGTATAGTAAAAACGTGTATGTCCTATACTGACACAGCGAAAATAAAAATCTGGTCCCTCGTGAAGCCGTTTAGGCGAAGTATGACTCCGGATTGGCTCCGCAACACCGATGACGGATGTGACGATGGAACGATGTCGGATGATCAGGGGCGCGGGAACTACTTTCCGACTGGGGGGGCACACCATAATAGAGATTAACCTAGGGTACCCCCAAATCTAGTTTTCTCACCGGTTTTAGGCCACTTATTTTTCACCCCTCGGCTTTTTCAACAAAAAAAAAAGAAAACATTTGCAAAAAAAGTGTGGTATTCCGTCTCAAAGCTGTGGGGGCACCGCCCCCACGGCCCCAGAGTTAGGGGGGCAAGCTGCCCCCACTGCCCCCCCGGCTCCCGCGCCTATGCGGATGATGAACACCAAAGGGCAAATCAGATCATATCTGTATTGTATTGGTCTGGGCCATTCTCAACTCACCGTGTGAGCCTATGTACTGTGTACGGGCCGGCACGGCTCACCGACGTGACCCAGATATGGGTCAGCGCATCATATGCACTGACCTCGGATATACCCGGGCGGTGGGTCAATTATCCCAAGAATCTTGCACTATCCGGAGCAAGCCCCATCACAATGGGTCAACCGGAGGCGACAGTGGAGACAGGCTCACATTTCTCACACACATCGGACTGGGACAGTGGGCAAGTGCCAGGCACCGGGCTGAACGTGGGGTTTGTATTGGAGCTCGCGGGCTGTTCCAGCCGCCCACAGAGGGCAGACATGGTGCGCGTGGCGGTCACCCGGTCCCGGCGGACGGCGCGGACCAGACGAGGGCCGTACCGCAGCGTCCGCACACAGTCGTCTGGACATAATCCAAACAAACCGAGCGCCCGACGTCACCGCTCTGAATTACAACGTGCGCGTACACAGTGCGGCAAACGGTCAGACCGGGCGCACATGGTTCAACGACTAGGAATATAACCATGCGCACAGCAACGCGATGAAGGTTAGACCTGTACATACGCATCAATCGACACAGGGTTAGACCCGTATATACATAAATATGTGAACGATGACCAGCTCTCAAACTCACAGTCAAGAATGGGTTTGCAAAATGTGAAAATGCACCAAGCAGACACAATAAAAGTATGCAAAAGTCTCTGACGAGGGTCCGAGTTCTCAGCGCGGCACTGTCACCGGTTCGCCTCTCCGACCGTACAAAAACTGCCAGTCCGACCAGCACTGATGACACAAGCTTTAGAAAACCACCCGGCTCCTTCTCACAGCCAACAGGCAATGACACTACCGTTCCCGGCTAGCGATTAGATACGGCATAGTAGCTGCATCTAATGGAAACACAAAGCAATCACACGGGCCACGCTCCCTACATTACCAAATCAACCCGCATTCACAATTCAGTCGGTAAATAAACTGGACTGCTTTTCATAAGCTCCATGAAAGCAAATAACTGCGTTACATAAGAAAAATAAGGCAACATTTCGCACCTAAATTCTAAACACATCGCCCGACATGGCAAAACTACATCAAACGTCAAGTTACGAAAACCTCCCAAAACACCACGCATCGAACTCCCCGCAAACCAGCACTTACAACCTCCGGACCCGTCTCAAGTTTCCTTTCTGGTCAGGTACAATCTACACGCATCAAACACCTAGACTGGTAAATCGTTCAAAAACCCGCCTGGCAGTTAGCATTGCATTAGATAGCTCCAATCAGAGAAGCTCCCGGCCCAAACCATGTCGCTTGTACTCCCCTGTGCAACTGGGGACTTCATGAATCTTCACATTAAGTTTATCAATGCAAATGCATGCATTCTGATGTGCATTTTGTTGACACATCCTATCATTTTGTTGTTCATTGGTTTGAAAATCGACTTTCAAGTTTATTTCGGCAATAATTTAACACGTCCGATGAACGGGCTGCGTCTTAGCTCATGCCTGACTTACCAAATTCAGCTCAATGCCCAACTCCTTATGGATTCATAAGCGATGTCTTATCTCGGCAAACCGACTCGGGTTCGTTCTCAGTAGCTCGACGCTCCGTACCCCTGTCGTATTTACACTCTCAATTATTGTACCGGTAGACAGAACCGTCACTACTTGCTGAAGTCTCCTCCTCCTCCACATAAGCAACACGGCACCACCAGCCGAGGAGGGACAACGACTGCTGTTTGCGGCGTGCCGCGAGCCGTCATCACGAGGGCCGTGACACGCGGCCGTCCTTGTCCTGATGCCTCGCCGACATGCAGGCCACCACGTTGTTGCGCAGGTTGTCGAACATGGTGGAGAGTCCCTCGAAGGCGGCGTCGCCGATCAGTTGCCGCAGGTGGTTCTGGTAGTGCGTGAGCTGCTGGGCGGAGGTGCGCGGCGGGGCGGGTGGTGGCGGCCGGTGGTACGGTACCGGCTGGGTGGCCAGCTCCGGCGGCGCCGCGTACAGACGGTGCTGCTCGGCCGCCGCCGGGGGCGGGGGCGGGGGCAGCCAGTCGCCCGGGTACCGGTGGATCAGCTGGGCGGCCACGGGCGGCGCGCCGTCCGCCAGCCGCACCGGCTGCAGCTCCACCAGCCGCGGCTCGGTCACCTCCGCGGAGCTCACCTCCTCCAGCTGGGGCCCACCCTCGGCCGGCGCCGGCGGCTGGCAGAACTTCAGCACCGAGTCGCGCCGCGCCGCGCTCTCCGCCGGACTCTCAGCCGGCAGCAGCGGCGGCCGCGGCTGGAACTCGGCCGCCGCCGGCTCGGCGGGCGTCTGCTGCGGCTGGCGACCGGTCCCCGTCCGTCCGGCAGACACCGGGCGGTCGGAGCACACCGCCGTCACCGACACTGCCACGGCCGCGGCCGCCGAGAGCCCCAGTGACACCGACCCCGACACGGACAGCGCACCTGACACTGCTGACACCGCGCCTGACAGCGCTCCTGACACACAGACCGCCCCGGACGCTGCTCCTGACAGCGCCGCCGACACCGGCGGCGGGGCAGGGGACGCGGCCGCGGCCGGCGGAGGAGGCGGGCTGTCCGGGTTGTCCGGGTCTGCCTCGGTCGCCGAGCCCGCCGCGGTGGTGGCCGTGTCGGCGCGGATCTTGAGTCGCGCCTCATCCCGACTCAGTCCGTGCGAGGCGGCCATGTGGCGCGCCAGCGTGTCCACCCGCCGGCTGGTGACTCGGCAGAACGGGCAGCTGAACTCCTTCTCCTCTGCAGAAGAGCACAAGGGAAGGGAAACTGTCAATGACACTACCCAAACGGTGCAACGGGACGCAAGCAAACCATCTTAGCTGAGGGTAGTAATGCAGACTACACATCTGTCCGCCATGACAATAATGAATTGAAATTAAGGGAACACAACGATGGTTAAGCGACACGACACCACTCTACGAGACATCCCAAACAAATAAATTGCCCCAACACCAGTGAAAACATTTCAGTCGACATCAGCACAGTCCATAAGCCTAGTAACAGCCGCTTCCCAGTCCCTAACCTGACACCCACAGCCGCTCCCCTGCTGCCCCGCCACTGACCGGTGTGAATACGCTGGTGCCTGCGCAGGTCCGAGCGGCGGGAGAAGTGTTTGCCACAGCCCGGCGCCGGGCAGCTGTGGCGCTGCGCCGGCCGCGGCAGGTCGTGGCACTCGCGCAGGTGCTGAGCCAGAGTGGCCGGCGTGCGGTACAGCTTCGGCTCGGGACAGACGGGACACCGCTCCTCGGCGCCGGCTGCGGGGACACAGAGAGACGTCAGAGACACTGGGGAGGAGCTATCAGCAGAGGGGAGGGACAGGGACGGCCGAGCCCTCATCTCGGTAGAGCTGATGGAAAGGAGCGCGATTTACCTTTAACATTACTTTACTTTTGTGGTGATCGGGATTGAAAAGGCCACTTGGCCTGGGGATCCCGCTCTCATCGAGCTCATATCGGGATACAGGCTAGGCTCTGTGGAATAGGGGGTGTCGTACATGATGCCACCCCAGTGCTTGTCCAGCCGGGCCTGGCCTTGAACTGGTTGACGTAATGTGCCATGACCACTGCACTAGGAAAGGAAGTTCCAGTCGTTTATGATCCTGAAGCTGAACGCGTTTCTGCGCACGAGTTTGGTGGCCCTCGGTTTCTCGAGCTTCCACTCGCGGCCCCTGGTTCGAGAGAGTTGATCCGGGTCAAGTATCGCCATAAATATCTTGACTCAAGATATTTATGGCGATATGGCTAAGCTAACCCTCCGTGCGGCAGCTGATATATGGTCACCAATCATGTCGCCTCTGTGTTAGATGAGACACGCTGCTTCTCTTTTAATGTATTCTTCGTACCTCACACATCCGTCCGGTTCCAGCTCCCGGGACGCACTCTCCATGCTAGTCCCCGGCCGCCCCGACCCCCTGACGTCACGGGTCAGGCCACGGGCGCCGCGAGGCCGGCCGCCATGGGCGGCGGAGGGCTCTCGGATACACCAGCCCAACACTCCTCTCCCTTAACAAACGAATGCCCGCTTTAACAAACGAAATAAGCAACTGCAAAAGGAAACAAAACCACTGAACATAACTTTTTACAAACACATCAGTGCTCACTGTACGCCCACACTCAGCCACGGTTTTCACAGACACCTCAGTGCTCACTGTGAGCCCGTCCTCAGCCACGCCGGCAGTCGAGGCGCCAGGCGACCGTAGCCGGCGCCGGTCAGATGCACGCCGTCAGGGTTGTAGAACGCGGTGGAATGGACATAGTGGCCGCGGGTCGGGCCGTTCCGCCACCGGCACAGTCGGCGGCCGACGCTAAGGACGGCCGGTCCTCTTCCGCCGTCCCTCAGCGAGAGCATTTGCCTCTCGAGTAGAAAAGCTGGCGTTTTGTTCCAGAGAAGACCCTCGTCGTTCGCCGGTCGGGGCGTCGGTCCGACCAGCGTAACGTCTGGGATGATCCCGGCCAGATCAGTCAGGAGAAGGCTGATTTTCTGCGTGACGCCTTCCGGCGATCCTCGGATCCCACCTGGGCCGGGGTATACGTCGTTTCCCCCGACCCAGATCAACACCGGGCCCAGACGCCGGCCCGCCGCCCGTGCAGCCTCCGCCCAAGTCATTATCTGCTCGTGAAGCCAGACGAGTCCCCTCGTCCATGCCAGGCCGTCCCGCGCCGCTACGGTGAGGTGGTATGGCGGACATGCTTCAAAACCGGCCCGACGGACCATGGAGTCTCCTACTACCAGCGCGGCCACGACGTCTGGGGGAGACTCCGGCGCTCTAGCACCCACTGGGGACGGTAGTACCGGCGGCGCCGCCGTCGCAGCTGCTCCGCCGCCGGCACCATCAGCCATGAACTGACGTCCTCCGACCTCACAAGGTTCGGAGGAGTCGACGGCCGGGCCAGCCGGCGGCGGACTCAGCGAGGACCCTTCCCCAGTACCCGTCGCAGGTGCTCCGCCGCCGGCACCATCAGCCATGAACTGACGTCCTCCGACCTCACAAGGTTCGGAGGAGTCGACGGCCGGGCCAGCCGGCGGCGGACTCAGCGAGGACCCTTCCCCAGTACCCGTCGCAGGTGCTCCGCCGCCGGCACCATCAGCCATGAACTGACGTCCTCCGACCTCACAAGGTTCGGAGGAGTCGACGGCCGGGCCAGCCGGCGGCGGACTCAGGGAGGACTCTTCCCCAGTACCCGTCGCAGGTGCTCCGCCGCCGGCACCATCAGCCATGAACTGACGTCCTCCGACCTCACAAGGTTCGGAGGAGTCGACGGCCGGGCCAGCCGGAGGCGGACTCAGGGAGGACCCTTCCCCCGTACCGGCTCCCGGCGCATCGACCCCGCTAGAACCAGGCATCAGCAGACTGGGCGTTGACCCCGAAACACCGGGGGGAGACAGAAGAGACGCCTGCAAGTCTGGGACGGACGTCGTCCCGGCGATGGTCCTGTCACCAGCGTCCCCTAGGTCGTCCGGCATCGGGCTGCCCAGGAGCTGGCTCAGCATGTCCGGTGATCCGACGGCTACCTCGGCCGCCGGCGATGTCGGACCCTCCACCGCTGTCTTCAGCATCCTGGAGTCGCCAGCGAGTCCCAGCTCCAGAGCAGCTACCCTGGCCTCCAGGTCAACGACCCGATCCCGCAGGATCTCCACTTCGCTTTGGCCAGAGGCCATCTCTGAAAAAAACGTCAATCAGTTAACATGACCTCTCACAAGCAAACAAACACACACCTGTTCTTTTTCGGTCATTTTCTTTTAGTTCCTTTTTTAGAAGCAGTTCATATTTATGTTTTAATACTGAGACCGAGGGACTCACTCCTGCCTGATACTTCATCACTGGGATTGATCTACGTCCGGACTTAGTGATGTATGGGGTTAGGAGGGACTCGTTCATAGGGTACGTCGCCCACATGAGCTCCAAGCCGCCCCAACTGAAGTCCATCTTCCACTCGACGTGACTGCTCGTCAGCGCTGACTTCTTCCTCCTCGCGCGCGCTGTTCGGTCCACCTGGAGATGGTGAGAAGTCCAGCTGAAAACTGGTTTCCATATCGATCGGCTGCTTGCCGACGTTGCACTCTCCTTCGTGCGTGTCATTTTCGGTCCCTCGAGATGCTGCTGCATCATCTGCGTCTCCCTCACTGTGGTTCTCTGATTGTCAGGTACAGCTCTGTCAGAGCTAGTACCTAGTAGAGTCATCATGCCTTCACACCGGATGAGGGAAGGGCGTGGGGGTATGGTCTGCGATCAATCCCAGAAGCTGCTCCCGGACGAAAAATTGTTCACATCTAGAAGACCCCTATCACCATTCCTGTCATATACCCCTTCAGGTACCGACCTAGCTCGGTACGGTGGAGCTTCTGCTCTGTCATTCTGGAGCCTTTGCTGGGATACTCCTTTCTGGACAAGGGGTTTCAGGTCGTTGTGGTGGACCACACGGTCCCTTCATCCAGGCAGCCGTTATTACGTTGGCCTCAATTTTCCCCTTTAGTATTAGACCTCCAACGTCAACTAGTTGCGTCGTCTATACGGACTGAGTTTTCAGTGTAACACCACACGTTAACACTGGACCTGAATGGAATAATTTAGAAAAGCTTGGCACAAGTACAACGCAACGCAAAGTGTTAGCGGCTATCTCAGCAAAATACCTGACTATATAACTACCGGGTGTGCACCGCAACACGTCTTGTTAGAGGCGCAACCCGAACACCGATTGATTGTCTAATATTACGAGAGAAACCGAAACGTCTCACCTCGGGAGCGAAGTCCTCCTTGTGTCTCGCCGCGCCAGTGTTAGATGAGACACGTTGATTCTCTCTTAATGTATTCTTCGTACCTCACACACCCGTCCGGTTCCAGCCCCCGGGACGCACTGCCCCCACGCCCCGCGCGAGTCCCCGGCCGCCCCGACCTCCTGATGTCACGGGTCAGGTCACGGGCGCCGCGAGGCCAGCCACCATGGGCGGGAGAGGGCTCTCGGATACACCAGCCCAACAGCTGGGCCTCTGGTAGTAGAGTGATGGTAGTCCCAGTCGACGGAGTCTTTCAGGGTACGGGAGGTGCTTGATTTGTGCGACCATTCGTGTTGCACGACGTTGCACGCGTTCAAGTCTCTTCTGGTCCTCTTTACCAAACGGTCCCCAGATTGTGTTCCCATATTCTAGGAGGGACCAAGCCATGGTCTTGTAGAAAAGCGGCAGCGTGTGTTCGTCAATGTTGGCGAATGAGCGTCTCACGACGGCCAGAATCTGAGATTTAACGACGGCTGACACGGTCTGCTTGTGAAAATTGGGCTGGTTGTCGATTTCAAGACTGAGGTCTTTCTCCTCTTCAGCGTTCTGGATCAGGATGCCGTTCAAAAAGTACACATGCTCCGGGTTTCGGTGGCCGAGGTGCATCGCCTTGCATTTTTGGGATTGAAATGGAGCAGCCACTTCTAAGATCAGCGGACGAGGGCATCAATGTCAGCCTGGAGGTCATTGCTGCTACCCAGGACGCGACGGTATAGTTTCTTGTCGTCGGCGAACAGTTTGACCGAACCGGTGACCTCCGAGGGAAGATCGTTGACAAATAAAGTGAACAGTACAGGTCCGAGAACCGATCCCTGTGGAATACCACTCGTCACAGGGGCCCACGAAGACTTCCATCCATGGACCACAACCCTCTGTCGGCGATCGATCAGAAAGGATGCGATCCAGTTGTGAAGCAGGCCCAGGACTCCGTATGCAAACAGCTTGCGGATCAAACGTCGGTGCGGCACAGAGACGAAAGCCTTGGCGAAGTCCAGGTAGATGATGTCGATGTTGTCTCAGTTTTCGATGGCGGTGCTCCAGTCCTCGATTGCCTCCATCAGTTGCGTCGTGCACGACCTCTTTGGGAGGAAGCCGTGCTGGGCGCCGGTGAGCAGGCCGTTTTCGCGGAAATATTGGAGGAGAGCGCCTCGGACAATTGATTCGAGGACTTTGACAGGGATGGCGGCCAAGAGTGATTGGTCGATAGCTCGAGGGGCGTTGGCGGTCTCCCTTCTTGAAGATCGGGGTGATCTCACCTGTCTTCCAGTCCAAAGGAAGCGACCCAGAGTCCAAAGACTTGCGGTACAGTATGCTCAGGGGGTGGAGAGGGCCTGTGCCGACTCGCGAAGGATTCGGGGGTGTATGGCGTCAGGCCCGGCGAGCTGGTTGTCTTGAGGGACAGCAGCTATCCTTCCACTTTCTGAGGAGATGCTTCAAACATCATCGAGGAAGGGGTCCTGCCAATTAAGGTCCATATCAGGTGCTTCAGTATCTTCATGGGTAAAGATGCTGCTGAAGTACTTGCCCAGCATGTCAGCCTTGTCTTGGTCACATGATGTCAGGTCTACCCGTTCGTGTCGAATGCTTTCGTGTCGATTTACGATGTCGAATACTCCCTCCCCAGATGCTGGAGCACTGAACAGTGGGCACAACATCTTCTTTGTAGGCAAATGTGGTCCGAGAGCATGTTCTAGTTTCTATATTAAACAAAAAAGCACAATAGCTAAAAAAAAAAACTGATTAAGGCTATGAAAAATGCCAGGCACTTCCTTTTGATGTTCAGGAACTAGTTAGGGGCGTCAAGGCGGATAAAATCTCAAATAACCGTTCAAAGTCCACTCGGCAATACCTGGAATCACCATTCATTGTGCTATAGCCGAATGGCGCCATTCATCGCCGATTCCCTGCGTTAGATATCGGTATGTCAGGTCAGCTTTCACCAGCAAGCAGTCTACGGCCAGCCGTGCGGGAAAACGTGACTCAAGAAAATGACCGCCGACTCTGAAAGCGGCAGCTCGGCACGTCGCACAGGCGATGGTGGTATAGTGGTGAGCATAGCTGCCTTCCAAGCAGTTGACCCGGGTTCGATTCCCGGCCATCGCAGCACCCTTTTGACCTGACCTCAGCCACCTATATAGCACTATCGTGGGTCACCAATCACCATCGCGTGCGGACCATACGAGTGCCACGGCAACCGCAAATGCGATGTTGGTGGCAATCAGCCGCAAGAACCTGGCAATGACACAGGATGGAAGGAAGATACGCTCCCATATATCAGCATTGGATCACTCATCAACCTGCGAGTTTCAGCAGATGAACGTCCTAGCAAGGAAATCTTCGTAGATCAGATATCAGGTGCATAGATGCGATGAGGTGATGGATGCTGATGTCTAACTCCCCCCCCTAAAGACAGACATAGGTAACCATACTCTAGTAACATACTCTAGTAACCACTCTAGAGTAAAAAACGAAGGCTTTCGAGGAATGAAAGTTCAGTCGTTAATTTTCAGATAAGCCTGGAAGGACGATTTAATGCTCGTATCATGAAAGCTTAGAACAGTAACCACCAAAGCTGTAATTAAGATGACAGGCCTGAGTAGGTCATTGTAAGTTGAGATTGCTAGCCATTTGGGTGACAAGCCTAGTAACACTGCTAGTCGAAATGGGCGATTTGTGCAGGCCACCAACTGATCCCCTTCCGTCCATCTCCGATTCGTATGGGTTTCCCGCCGCCCGTCCACGACTCACCGGTGTGTTTCAGCATGTGCTTCTTGAGGTTGCCCTGGTCGGAGAAGGCCTTCTGGCAGAGCTGGCAGACGAACGGCTTCTCTCCCGTGTGTGTGCGCAGGTGTCGCTGGTAGTTGTACTGGCACGTGAACCGGGTGAGGCACTGGGCGCACTGCAGACCGCCCTCTGTCGGCGAGCGGACCAAACGGGACGTGAACTTACGGCGGCAACAGTGGTGACAGGGACGCGAAGTCATATCGGCCAAACAACGTGAGAGACAAGGACGTGAACTCCCCCGGCCAGAGCAAATAACAAATGAAACAAACAGCGGTGGTGCTACTTCTTCAGTCTAGGATTGTTGATAACGCTCAGTGACATATTGACTACCATTTGTGACTACATTTGATCAACACTCGACAGTGACCACAATCGCAACTGCCAGGTTGTTGTGGAACCCCGTCTCAGTTGACCGTAACACGCAATCGGTGTGTGCTCCTTATGCCCAGCAGTACGCCGGCGGTCGAACTCACCAGTGCTGTGAGTGGCCATGTGTCGGTCCAGAGTGGATTTCTGCAGGAACTTGGCCGAGCACACCTTACACACGTGTGTAGGTGTCACACCTGGGGACGGCCGGGGGCCGGGCGGCGGTCATACTGCTGTGCCCATTAGCAGAGGAAAATAACGCTGTGACACTCGATTAGGCGGACACTCTCATGCATGGTTCCTATAAACACAAAAGGGGCACAATCCGTTGTGACGTGCTCCCACACCATGCTTTTCGACCAGTAATTGTCATGGCTAGATGACCTAGGTCACCAGGGTGGGACTCCAACGAATAAGGGAGAAAAATATGATCCACATTTAGTCATGTCGTAACAGACGTGACAAAAGGCTTTAAAGGTAGTGTGCCAGCTTTCCTGGACCGTATGGAGTTAATGGCCCAGATAAGGAGAACCGGATTTTTAGAACTTATCCATACCTTCAAAACTCATGAAAACGTCTTAAATTCTTCAAATTTTGAGTACCCCAGTGCGAAATTCGCCCCGACGGGTTGTCGGTCGTACCCCAACCACATTTCACACCACTATGAACAATAAATGCACACACTGAAATCGCTATTACCGATATGCTCATCCAATCAAGTTTCGATAAACCCGTTCATCATCATCTCCTGCGGTTTCGAACACGCCTGTTAGGTGGTGCGGTAGACCGCGCCCAAAGCCAGGGCCCCGGTAACGTGAGATAGCCGAGTCGGGGCAGCGTGCGCTGACCCAAGCCGGGGCCGAGCGTCCTCCCGGTGTCATGTGATAGCCCGGGGCTGCCCGCGGGGATGCGGTAGACCGCGCCCAAAGCTGCGGCCCCGGCTTGGGTCAGCGCACGCTGCCCCGACTCGGCTACCTCACATTACCGGGGCCCTGGCTTTGGGCACGGCTTCTGCTCATACTTTGTGGTGCGGTGGTGGTGCGTCGGGCCGCGCGCTCTGACTTCGGCCAAGAAAAATGCGTCAGCTGATCATTGTCATTTCTGCCACTTGCGTGTGGTGAAATGGGGTCATAACTTAAGAGACGGCTTTTTCATATCAATTATTTTAAATAAAATCATATTTCAAACCATAAATAATGTTCGACAGCCAAATAAAAGAAACAATACCAATACAGGCTTACAGTTTAAGGCTCGACATTGTGTTGTCTACGATTAGACAGCTGATAACTCATTCCCTTACGTCGTAACTCTATAATGACCTTTGCTTATTGTCACATGTGCGCCGCATTCGCGATTGTTGCCGACGCCTGTTTGCAGGTCAGCCCACTACAGTTGTTATACATATCGAAAAACCGATAAACTTTTAGGCGAAAAAGGCACTATTCCAGGCCCATTTTTGATTTTTTTTTTGCGATATTATGTAAAAACGGAAGCTTCTTGTCCTAGGAAAAATAAAATGGGAAATCTTTCAAAGGTGGCACACTACCTTTAATAAGTCCAGCAGCCACAGTCCTGGCAAGCCTACCTTTGTGTCTGTCCATGTGGTAGTTGTAGTGTTGTTTGACATTCCCCGTCCAGGAGCACTGGGAGCAGCGGTAGCGCGCCTTGCCCGTACGACAGCTGATGTGGTACTTCCAGTGGGAGAAGGTGGTAAACCGCTTCTGACACTCACGACACTCGTACTCGGGTTTTGCAGTGTCTCCTGGAAAAAGGCAAACACATCATTACACAAAATGTGCAACACTTCAACAGCCTGAAATCAAATCGCCCAAATCTTAAATCTCAATCTCAATTATTGCTTGCTAACAAATAAAATCACGTCGCGGCGCGCAAATCACAAATCACCTCCACAACTACCAACTCGGCTTGTACCCGAACGTGTCATGTCCCATTATCCACGACTGCTACACAATCTGCCCCAACCTGGTAAGATCCTCAATCCCACGACCACCAATAGCACTCACCATTGTCCACCTTCTTGACCACCATGTTGGCAGTGACCCTCTTGGTTCCCGATGTGGCACCGCGCCGCCTGCCGGCCGACCGCTCCGAGTCGCCGTCCAGCTCAGCTCCTCCTTTAGACGGCTCGACCGACTCCGTTGTACCCTTAGACGGCTCGACCGACCTCGTCGCTTCTTTAGACGGCTGGGCCGGCTGAGCTGCTGCTTTGGACGTCTCGGCCGACTCCGTTGTGACCTGGGACGGCTCGGCCGGTCCAGCCGCTCCTTTGGACGGCTCAGTCGACTCAGCTGCTCCTTTGGACGGCTCAGCCTGTCCAGTCAACCCCTCGGTCGACTCAGCTGCCTGTTTGGTCGGCTCTGCCGGCTGCTCCTCGTCCCTGCTACTCTCCTGGTGTACCTGGGCCAGGATCCTGGCCTTCATGGAGCGCGGCGGCGGCATCGGAGAGGCGTCTCCGGCGGAACTGCTCTCCGCCGGCCGGCCGTCCTCACCAGAGACCTCCGGAGAGGCCCCCTGAGCTGCGGCAGCTGCTACTAGCGAGCTGCCGCAGACCGGCGCACCATCACCAACCAGGGAACCGTCAGAGGGGGCCGGTGCCGCTGACTCCGTAGGCTTGGGTTCCACATGGGGCTGAGTCGTGCCACTTAGGGCATTGCTCAATCTTTCTTTCCTGTCGCTTGGAGCCATCCGTTTTTGCTTTTTCTTGTGCGATGCTTGTTGTTCATTCGGGAGTGGCCGCTTGCTCGTTTTCGATGATGAAGCTTCTGTAGCCTCAATGTGACGTGAAGGGACCTCGATCGGTGTTAACGGGATAGCTTCCCGCTGCTCTGGCAAATTTCTCTTCGCCAACAGCTCTGTTGATACCGGCGTCGATAGCGAGGTTGAAGACCTCTGACCTCCCGGCACTGAGGGGGTGCTGGTTCGGGGGATTTTGTGTATCAGTGCCGAGCCTGCTACCGTCTGTGTGCCGCACTCCTCCCGTGATCGCTTCCGTGCTGGCTCTCCGCTCAGAGTGCTGCTCTCTGTCGAAGCCGCGGTCCTCAGAGGCGGCGGGATGGAGAGTGCCGCTCCGTCGGCCCCCCGTCTGCCGCGCCCGGCCTTCCAGTGTCTGGCCGGGGAGCTCTCCTCGGCGACACAGCGCGGCGACAGGTCCTCCGGCTGGACGGTCTCGGCGGGACGGGGTGCGGTCGCAGCACCGCCGCCGGCCAGCTGACTGCGCAGCTGCTGCACGCGCAGTGACGACTGCAGCAGGACGGGGACGGCGGCGGGCGCGCGGCGTAGCTCCGGCGAGCGCGCCGCTCCGCCATCAGCCGCCGTCGGCTCCGTCAGGGTCGGCGGCGACGACCAGACAGGTGGCGCGGCACCCGGTCTGACCGTCGGACTGTCTGAGCGCTGCGAGCCGACCCGCGGGCTGACCGGCCGGGCGGGCTGGGGCGTCGGCCGGACCCCAGAGACGACAGCCGGATCGGTCAGCCAGCCCCGTTCGGGGCCGGCCGACACTGGCCAGCGGCTCGGCTCGCACGGCCACAGCGGCTGGACGGGGGCCAGACGGACCGGCGAGGCCGACACCGCAGGAGCCTCCGCCGGAGCTGGCGAAACCGACACTCTGTGTTACACTGTTGCAGCTAAGCATAGAAGCTGATATAATGCTTTGCTTAATGTTTACTTGCTTTCCATGTTAGGTTAATGAAAATATGTCATGAAGATGCCATTATTTGACTTAAATGCCTATTTTCAGCAGCAAAATAAAAAAAATAAAAGGAAAGGCATAGCTGATCAGCATTACTATCACTATCCTGCAGACTGCAGCTCAGTTCGCATAGCTCAGTTGACCTGTCTCTCCTGAGAGGCTCTCCACATACTGTTTCTATGAAACTCCTGACATAAATGGCCTGCTAATGGTGAGAGGATCATGCAGCAGAAAGCTGGATTAAGACATACCTAACAGACATAGTCCAATTACATATATGCAAAGGTTTGAGATATAAATGCAATGTGAAAAATGTGAAATAAAAACCTTCAAGTTAAGCCACACAAAAAGGAAATTCCCAGACAATGAAGTTCAATCCCTGTATGACAAACTGCTTGGCACAACTTGGGCTTGGGCTATCAATCTATCTATTTAAAATATATGAATACATTTTACTTTAAATGCTGTTTTTGACTGACCTTTACATGACCAGCAACCATCCTCTTCAGACAGCAGGCAGAAGCGACATTTGATATGACCGCATGCATCTGTTACTAGTCGGTTTCCTTTCCCAGCCACCATGCGGCGGCACTGGGGGCACCCATCTGACACTGCAATACAGCGGAAGGTACATTGGCATGTCAAATTTCACAATATGACGGCATCCAACAGTCTCACCGACACTAGCATGTTAAAAGGTGAGCAGAGGAAAATGGTTAGGTAGGTGGGTAGGAACTTGCATAAATACAGTGATCTTGATCTCGATCACAACCAACATTGAAGCGCCAGCCGCCAACTATAAGTTGGAAATAATATTCCTAACATTTCAAGTTCATTTTGCATAACTTACCATTTAGTGCCATCCTTTAATTCTTGAGTCACCGCATGATGATGTTGAACTTGAACTGGTTGGGTTGGAGGGGGTCAGGCTTATCATTACAATTATTATTTGTCTGCTGATCCCTGGAATTCATGGCGGTTTATATAAGTGAAAATGAGCAACATGTTCACATTAAGCTGAATTCGATCACAATGAAGCAAACTAGCCAGTCAAGGATGTGGATGATAAAATATATAACTGAAATAATCAGCTACTGATACCTATAACTTCAGCGCCCAAACATGGATGAGAGATTACCTCATCCATGGCCCAAATTTGTTGTGTGTGCGCTTTGTGCTGCAAAATCTGCGCCAGAATGGCCTAATTGTATTCTTCTCGTCTGCAAATGAGTTTGTGTACAGCGCACCTAGCGGGTCAAATGATAATTGTATCAATATTTTCAAAAGTATTATTTGTTAGAAAAATCTGCTTCTTGTTCAAGTTTATAAGGCTTAATTAAATTAAAATTAAATCAAACAATAACTAGCATTGCTTTGAATGAGCAAAATGTACAACAATTGCGAAATAAATTACAGCAGGCAGTTTTGATAAACCCAAACAGCCTTAAAGATTGGTATATTTTCATATTTTTCTTTTCCTTTTGTGTTAAAAAATACGCAGTCTAGTGGGAAATTAAAACCGTACAAAATCCCTTTTGATAATTAACGTTATATTCGTTATAGCTAATGGTGCATTTCCTTGAATGTGCCCTGCCTTGAATGTACCCGTAGCTGGCTGCTTTACCTTTTGACTGAAATCTTCAAGTAAGTGCCTAGGTAGGTACCTACCTACCTAACATAACTTATATGGTGGTCATATTATTTCTGTCATTTTAAAATCATAAGTCTCCCTAACCGTTGCGGACCCGGTGTGGGGGGGGGGGGTGCCCCCTCTCAAATATTGGTGATTGTGATCAGTGATAGCTCCCTAATCTTAGGAATAGGAAAGCAAAAGTTTCAGTACTTTTTTCCAATCAATTTGACATCTTCTGAAGTAAAAAATTGGTCCTAGCTACATTGATGACTCAAACGCTGATTTTTCTAGCCCCCTGCGGCCTGCACTGCAAACTTCGGCATCAAATTCAAATAACTGCAAAAATAGTTTTAAGATAGGTATAGACATTACAAACATGGCTGTATAGCATTTGACTGATGGTAGGGACAAAAACAAAAATAGTAGGATGAGCCTGGGCCAGAGGTATCAATAAAATGTATCATTTTACGCAGTTTGATGAAGAATGTGTTGGAATCACTGCGGCACTGCCATAGCTCTAGGATCATTTTTGTTCAAGTTATTGTGAAAAACTAAAATCTCAGCTCAGGGTCATTGACCTGATCATAAGGTCAAAGACCCCAGCTCGGGGTTGCTGACCTGACTATGACAAATGATTGACATTTGACCCCGAGCTGTGGTTTGAGTTTTTCATGAATAACTTGAACAGATATGGTCCCTGAACTACAGCAGATACAGTGGCTCCAATGCATTCTTCTTATCAAGCTGCTTCAAAGGATATATCTTTTGTTTCGAAAAGGTCAAATTTTATGTTGACATGTGACCTCAAAATTCAAATGACCTTAGGTTGACCTTTACACATGAAAGGTCATGCATTTAAGGCCAAGGTCAAGGTCATGGAAGAGTACCCTTGCTAGAGTATATTTCACTGATTCAAGTTAGTCATAATAATTAGGCAATATAATTTTGCCATACTGAGGCTCTTAGTTAATGTTTAGAGCAAAATGGATGCTAGATTCATGATCAGTGGCTATGAATCCATTTGGAGTAGTTTTGTATCATAAGAAGATTAATGTCAAATAGGGGCCTGAGCTGATAAGCCTGAAACCATTTCAAAGCATCTTGGAATTTTGTATAGGCACAAGATACCCACACAGAAAAGTGCAAAGTTTGAGGTTAACTTTTAGCATGACCTTGAGATTTGCCTTGAATGTTGAGCACACCATCAAAAGCCTCAGGTTCTCTGTTTACATTTCACATCCATTTTTGCCAGTTTTATGCATCCTTCCATCCTCTAGAACACTTACATTGCGATCATTACACAGGTGCAGGTTTTTGCCTTTGACCTTGACCTCTGACCTTGAAAATCGACCTCAATAAAAAATTTAGGTGCTGTAGAATCTTCTGGTAAAAAGTAAAGACCTTTTGTTTGGTACCTTTTGTTTCCGTAGCTCCCATAGTTATGGAGTGAGATGGGGGGGGGGGATGGGACGAAAAACGCCCTCCCCCGGGCTGCGGTGGTTGGGATTACCCCCGGGTTCGGCAGGGTTGAGCAGGATCATCCAGGTAAGTGACATGTAACTGTAGGCTGACCCAAGGTTATATTGATATCCACCACTTGCTCTGCTTTCTTGGCCATACTAGATTCTAGACTGAAAGAAACCCATATTACTGTCAACAGGTCCACGGATTCCGATTGCGTCAAAATTTTGAGACAGTGTCCAACGCAACTCCGTGTGGCGTGTGCAGAAACTTCGACGCATGGGCAGATATAAATGTTGGCACAAACGTACGATTTAAGAAATCTCGGTGCAAGACGACGAGAACTAACCTTAACTAAGCTCACTCGCTACACGTACATTTGAATCATAAATGAGACCAGTCAGTCCGGAGTACCGAGCCCCCTGGGTTGACGTTTGTGACAGCCCCCGAACGATTTGGACTTAAGTGCGGACTAGGCTGGTCGATCTTCAGCCTCCTAACCGGTTAAGTTGTGTCTACAGAGTGGACCGTACCCGACAGAGTAGAGTGGACCGTACCCGAGTGAAGCGACTGGCACTGTAAACACAGTCTTTAAATGACTTTTCACAGAGCCCTAGAAGACTGATTGGATTACCAGGCCCAAAGGCCGATCTGCCTATGCCCTCTAGATAGCATGCGATTTCGTTCGAGAGGTAGTTTGTTGTTGAGTCGTCTGGAAACCAGAAAGAAACACAAGTTTTGCGCCGTGTAGTACACATCGACAGTGCCGAGCAAGAACATCCTTAGTGTCAAATTTTTCGAAGTTGAGATTTCTATACCATTCGACTCAGCTCGACGAACTGAGTCGAATGGTATGAACATCTCAATTTCGAAAAATTTGACACTTAGGATGTTCTTGCTCGGAACTGCCGACATGTCCAACACATGTTCACATGTTCATGGGCGACGTTCAGTGATCCTTTGTCCATTAACCGGTGCTGGTGGTATGTCGAGCGATATTCTTGACATGGATATGTCCTCTGGCATTGGATGACAATACTGCACTACTTTAAAAAGACCCTTTAGAAAATCGTAGCGGAGGAGAACGGGTTAACCCCAGACCCGGGCAGATGTGTGCAGCGTCACGTGCGCGCTCAAGAAAGCCGGGCTGCACCATGGGTCCGGCAGCTGCCAGCTGGATGTAGTGGCGAACGGGAAGGGGATACGCTAAATGAACAACTCCTGGCGCACCCTAGCATATCATATTTATACGGTATCATAGATTACTCCATATCTATACTACTTCGTAATATAGTAGTGTATGCACACTGACGATGGTCGTCGGTCACATGCCCAACACTGCCTGTTGCAGGCGCGCTGCGGAGAGCGCCGTCACACCATGGCCTCCAGCCTGGGCCAGCTGCCGGTGACGGCCGACAATGTCCAGGAGGCGATCCGGCTCATGTACGGCCAGTCCAACCCGGACCCGGCGGCCACGCAGGCGGCCAGTCGCTGGCTCTCGGCCGCCAAGGCGTCGCCGCAGGCCTGGGACTTCCTCTGGGTGCTGCTGATGCCAGACAAGGTCAGTCGGTGTAATGTTGGGTGGGTCGTAGTGCATGACAGTGGCCGATGGGATTTAAGTACACTAGAGGCAGACGCAAGGAAGACGGCGAGGGACGTAGGCACTGCTTATGCTGCCTATATTGAGAACCACCCCTGGCTGCCAATGCCGTAGTGCAATCGTAAAAACCTAATAAACAGCTTGTCTTTAACAGCCATTGATACTCTGCCTTTTTTGTCAATCCGATATACGGTGTGCGGCTATTCTCTTATCTCGTCATGTAGGTATTCCTGATTGATCACTGCACTAAATCGCTTTATTTTGCGGCTAACCAATAACAATCAGCTGTTTTTTGAAGCATGTACATCGCTGTCAGCATCCTACATTCACTGCCCCCCGTATTTAACAAAACATGGCGTTACATTTTCCTGTGTGTATATTCATCGAGACATGGCGCTATACGATCATTCATACCTACCGATACATAGCGTTACAGACCCTTCATAGTCACGGATACACCGTATCTGCAAGTACGTGGTTTTCTTTATTTACCGAGACACTATTACGCAGCTTTCATACTCACGAAGACACGATGTTACACGGTCATCCGTATTCACTGAGACGCGGCGTTACACAAAACAGTGTACGAGTATTCGCCTTAGCGAGACGCGGTTATACACGGTCCTCCATATCTTCCGACGCACGCCGTCACACGATTCTTCCCATTCTTCATTCATGACTCTACGAGTACACGATATCTATAGGTAGTTACCTAATACCTTATCGATGCACGGCATAGCTCGACCTTGCATGCTCACTTTATCGAGACACAAAGCGTTCGTACATCACATCAAGCAAACATTCTTACGAGTGATGTGGTGCCACAAAATCCAGTCACAATTGAATTCAGGACACTGCGTGCTCCGCTGCATGCTCGTCACGTTTCCTGGCTTTCGGCCATGTCACTTGTCAGCCTCAGCCGTGACTATCTGGTCCTAAGCTTCTGCCTTCTGCTTTGTGTCACCAATCGTTTGGCTTGGCGGCATGTCAGGTGCGTGCCTGGTGTTGTTGCAGTGACCTGGACAGGCCGCAGAGTGTCCCTGCTCCTGGAGTCCCCTGTGCCCGTGCTGTACACAGTGTCTCTCCATGGCACATTGTTCCCAGTGGCCGTGGTCTGTGTGGCGTTCTGGAGCGCTGTCGTGTCCGCCGCACATGTGCTGACTTACATCACCGTGTCCGCAGTGCGCGGCGTGTCCGTAGTGTCCGCAGCACCCAGCGTGTCCGTGATATACAGGGTGTCCGCAGCACCCACTGGGCCTCTCGTGTCCTGTGATATCGCTGTGTCCGCAGTGCCCAAAGTGCCCTCTCATGTAGTCATGACCCGTTTGCCTGCAGTACCCCGGATGTCCGCCTTGTCCTACCGTGCTGTCTTGCGCGCTGCAGTTGCGCCGTCTCTCTCCGAAGTGGCCGCAGTGTCCGTGATGTCCTGTATCGTGTCCCCAGTTTGTGGGGGCGCCCTGAGGTCCTTCCATACACTGTCTCGGATACATACGGCCACAACATCCCTGCGGTCCTGGTTGCCCTGCTGTGGAGTACCGCCCGCTGTACCCGGCACACTCTGCCGTGGTGTGCCTGCGCTGGCCCGCTCCCCTCCCGTACCCTCCCGGCGCCATGTAGGTGAGCCTCTCACCGCGCTGACAGCTCAGTATGAGCTGGTGCAGCAGCAGCAGCAGTGCGTTACGCATGTCGTCCCGACAGGAGAGCGCCAGCCGCGCCTGGCCGCGCGTGCGCAGCTCGAACCTGATAAGCAGCTCGCGCACCTGGCCGATGACCTCGCGGCGCTGTTCGCTGTTCACGTCCTCCCGCAGCACGGTCAGCATCGGCCGGCAGCACGGCAGTCGGCACGGGCCCGGTCCGCAGCCTGGGAACAGGGGAGGGAGGTCAGCAGGGCAGTCGGCACGGGCCCGGTCCACAGACTGGGGACGGGAGGGACGAGGTCAGCAGGACAGTCGGCACGGGCCCGGTCCACAGCGTGGGGGCGAGGGAGGGACAGGGTCAGCAGGGCAGTCGGCACGGGCCCGGTCCACAGCCTGGGGGCGAGGGAGGGAGGTCAGCAGGGCAGTCGGCACGGGCCCGGTCCACAGCCTGGGGGCGAGGGAGGGAGGTCAGCAGGGCAGTCGGCACGGGCCCGGTCCACAGCCTGGGGGCGAGGGAGGGAGGGCCAACACTCAGCAGGGCAGTCGGCACGGGCCCGGTCCACAGCCTGGGGGCGAGGGAGGGAGGTCAGCAGGGCAGTCGGCACGGGTCCGGTCCACAGCCTGGGGGCGAGGGAGGGAGGTCAGCAGGGCAGTCGGCACGGGCCCGGTCCGTAGCCTGGGGCGAGGGAGGGACGGAGGTCAGCAGGGCAGTCGGCACGGGCCAGGTCTACAGCCTGGGGACGAAGGAGGGACGGGTTCAGCAGGGCAGTCGGCACGGGCCCGGTCCGCAGCCTGGGGATGAGGGAGAGGGTAAGCACTCAGCAAGGCAGCCGACACGGGTCGGGTCCGCAGCTTAGGGGACAAAGTGACGGTATCGGAGCTAGGGAGGGACGGCCGGACAGGGCGGTGTCAGCTCTGGGTTATGACCCGTGATGACCTCAGGTTTTGACCGTGTTAGAGCGAGGACGAAGGGCAGTGTCAGGTTTTGGGGACGGATGGACGGTATCAGCGCGGGGGATGCACGGACGGGGATTGGGTAGTTACCAGCGTTGTTTGCTCATACTGGGCTGGGGAGGGGGAAGGGGCTGTCCACGAAACTGTTTTGTAAAAGTGTTTGTCATTTCAAGCAATGAATCAGGGATGCAAATACATAAGACACAGTACAACTTATGCATAGTATATTTCAATTCAGTTACGCTCAACCATTCTCTAGTGTCTCTTTCGGCTAAATTCACGCCCTCCCTGTGTTTCCTTGCATTCGTAAGTCATTTCATAAATCCGCTTTGAAGTCGGATCCTAGTTCCACTCACCCTCCTTGGTGAAACGTTTGCGCTGCCGTCTGAGGGGGCAGGGCTTCTTATCGGGCAGGCTGTTGCCCCACTTCTGCAGCACGCTCGAGATCACCTCCCAGACATCAGTACGGTCCAGTGTGATCTCGTCGTGCGGCGGAGTGGCCATCTTCGAGCTGGGCCTGGACAGAAATTAGGGACGCTCAGTACCTCATACCCCAGCAAACACTAAAAGAAGGCACTCAGTCCCTTACCGCCCCCCCCCCAAAAAAAAACAACCACGCAGCCAGGACAATTGGTTTCTTAAACTCAGCAACCACACAACCAGGACGCTCGGTCCCTTATACTCCAGCAAACACACATACGAGGACACTCGGTCCCTTACACCCCCAACAGCCACATAACCATGACAATTGGTTCCTTAAATTCAGCAACCACACAACCAGGACGCTGGGTCCCTTACACCCTAGCAAACACAACGATGGGACACATCTGTCTCGCGGATACCGCACGCGCTGCAGCTGGTGGGAACACAGAGCTTTATAGACCAACGGCGCTCAGTCTCATGGGTAATGCTAAATGTACGGCATGGATGTCAATTCGCGGCAGAATGGACTCGGAAATAGAATCCCACCTGGAATGGACCATCAGAATCCCACCTGAACCCCCAGAATGGACTCAGCATCTCCCCCGTTCTGCTCACCGTTCTGTGAGTGGCGTTCTATGTCCCCGGTCCGCTGCTACCGTCCTCTGACTCTGGTTCCGGTCTGCTGAACCTGTGTGCTGGATCTGACACGTCCCCTGAGGCTGACCCCGGTCCACTACCGCCGTCCGCTGAAACTGACCCCGGTCTGCTGCTGCCGTCCGCTCCGGTCCCGTCCGTCCGTCCGTCTGCCTGGCCCGCGCTGCCGCCCAGCCGTCTCCTTCTAGCCCGCCGCTTACGCCGCTGGTATCGGTTCACCCACTTCCTCTGATTGCGCGCCTCCGCCGAGTCCGCTGCACACACCGCACTCGCCCGGTCCCTGGGCGATTCCGCCGATCAATTTCGGCAGTTCCTGGACCTTCATATGGTGCATTACTTGGTAATCGCCGGGTTTGGGCTGTGACTTATGCCAATATAATGTTGTGAACTAACAGCATTCATGTTAACGAAGTGGGGCTCAGCAGGTTTCTGTTAATGGTACCGCTTTCACTGCGTTTGTGTGCAGGGCTTCAAGCTTGCCTCCCGACTTCAGGCGCTCATCTAGCCCAAGCTATCTGTCTGACGATGACGACACTTCAGTTATGTGTCTCTGCTCGATGATGATTGGGTTTGATGGCGTGCCCAACCTCTGAGCGTTATATGACGCCAAATGTGTCTATACTCGCTCTCCGCTCCCGCCCACCGCTCTCCGCCCCTCCCTTCACCGAGCGCTGCCCGCTCTTTCCTCCAGAGCGAGCCGGAGCAGTTTCTGGGCGCCACCTTCCTGCGAGACAAGATCCGCGAGCACTGGGGCGAGCTGCCGCAGGAGCGGGCCGCCGCGCTCCAGAGCCGCGTCCTTGAGGCCACCGTGTCGGCACAGACCAAACAGGGCTCGGCCTCCAGAACACTGACGGAGGCGGTGAGTGGGGAGCGCAGCGGACAGAGCAGGGGCGCTGGGCAGGCCGAGATGGAGGTACACCCCTCACAGTATTGAGTGGGTGGTCAGCCGATGTTTTTTTGGGGGGGGGGGGAGGGGGACTTTGAATGTCTCAGACGCCAGACAAAGTGACTCCATAGAAACGAGAGGTTTCTGCGGACAATTTGGCAATGTTTTGTCAACAGCCTACAGACGTAATCATGAATACTGATCCATTATTGTGATGTTGTCAACCTACCATTGGATGTTGTGAGGTCTGTACCTGCCAGTTGCCACTGGCGTTAGATTGTGTGTGACGGTATGACCAACCTCGACCTAACGTGACCCGACCTCCCCGCCCGACCTAACTCGCCTCTAACCACTCCGGCAGCTGGCTGCGCTGGCGGTGCAGATGACCCCCGACCAGTGGCCCGATGTGATTCCCGACCTGACCCGCACCTGCCAGAGCCTCGGCGACGCCCGGCTCGGCGCCAAACTGCTGCTCAGCGTCCTCACCGAGATGCCCAACGAGGTAAGCGCGCTGGCTGCAGTTTGGTCGGCTCACAGCAGACATGTCTGAACTGGTTATGTGTAACTATGATTTTTTTTTAATGGCCATGGTATGCTACCCAACTTTTCGTTTCAGTGTTCTCAACAAAAAGTTTATATACGTCAAGTAGTTTTGTACATATCTTTTCTGCCAAGTGCGCCTTCTGTTCTAATTTATATCTGAATAATATTTACTTGAAGTCAATAGGCGTTTGTTTTGCTACAATATTATGGATCTCGCTCACATTAGTGGCACCACGGACGTGCGTACCGTGCGTACGATTTATGCGAGCGAGATCTGATGTATTGAAATAGGTATGCGACTTTCTGACTGACGAAAGAGCCTATTTCCAGCAGTTCATCTATGATAACTGGATATCTTTATTTCAGATAAACAAATGTCTCATCAGGCCAGCAAAGCGGCAGGCTGTGAAGGAGTGTCTCAGGAAACACATTCCACAAGGTATTCATTTGTGCTTGTGTTTGATGTCAGCTGACACTCTTCCCAGTTTATTGTGCACTGTGCGCCGGGTCAGTCAACAAACTTAACAGCTGGTCAAAGCTTGGTAGGGCCGATGGACAAATGGTAAAGCATGCATGTAACCGCAATGTCACTCGGTCGATCTGTTCATGTAGGCAGTGGGACTCTTATAAAGTATCGCGACACCGCGATACTCCCTGGTCCACCGGTCATGTCTCTTCGAGAATAACCAAGTATGCTGTTGTCCTAACACGTTATTCTTCCTAGGGTTGAAGTTTTCCTCAAGTTCTTGATTTGAAAACACGCTGTAAAACTACTCACGTCTGAGACTGAAGCAAACAGCGCTGCGCTGAGTTCTACTCGAAATGTTCTCCGTAGACGGTGATGTCACCGGATGGCCGCTCCGCCGCTCCCTCTCTTTGTCCGGGGCGCCTGCAGACGGGTGTCTCGGCGGGTTGGGACGCGGACGGTGCAGAGTCTGAGTAACCCGGGACTACCCCGATCACTACCAGCGTTCGGGCCATCCGCCGGCAGATGTCTGCCCCCCCCCCCCCCAGTCCCCCTACAGGGTGGAAAGTAATTACGCGAACATGTATTTTCTTACAATTTCGCCCGTCAGTGGAGATTTTGTATGAGCGCGGGCTGTTATGGAACATGACTGGTCGTGTTTGTTGTCGCCTCATCTAACAAAAGTGACCTTACTTTGAAAAATGACTTGGAAGGTCTACAACACCTCTCGGCTTCGAGTGGTGCTGACGCCATACGCTGCTCAAGACCAAAATGGGCAAAGAGCTCAATTTGAAGTTGCCAGGGAAAGCGTTTGTGATTATTTTGGCTGGATTGGTGCGGAAGGGACTCGGAACGGTCTCGGCACCAGCATTACTCAATTACACCTTTGGTTGAAGCATAATAAAACTTAAGAGGACTTAAAAAGCAAAGCCGTTGGCGGCAGTAAAACCTGGGCGAATTCAGGCGCCGAATGGGTGGTCACCATTTCCGCGACCAAACGACAACAGTCGACCCGAAAACAGGCGAAATGGTTTACTTTGGCCGGGTACCCGATCTAAGATATCACGATTCATACATAAATCCGTGAAAATTCGAAAATCAAGCCGTACAAACAATCGAGATGGCCAAAATTCATGAATTAACAGCAGGATTGTCAATTTAAGTTTTCTTAAGACCGCCAAACCTGAACAGAGGAGGACAGGCGGCTGGCTTTGTGGTTGGGTGAGACATCATCGAAGCTATTTCATCCGTCAAACCTGCAGAACAACGCGTTGGGGGCTGCTGATGCGTCCGACGTCCCGCCCGTCCCAACCTTCAAACATCCGGCAAAGGAACACACATCAGCGTGTTATGAGCGCCCGGATGGTGTCAGAATTGCATGTAGTGACCAACAAGGCCACCAAAAATAAAGTATACAACTAGTGGAACATCCTTCCAGACGAGTCTCTTTATCTAATCCATCAATGCACCAAAAGGGGCAAAATGATTGAGCGCACTTTTGTGCCCGACGCAAAGAAACTCTTCTTCATGATTGATAAAGTCTTTCCTCTCACGGCCAAAAAGACGCAAGACTGATGCTTTGAGAACCCATTCTTCTTCTGGGCATATAATGGTCAATCTGGGAATAGCCCAGACCTCAATTTGATCAAAAATATCCAGGCGACTCTTCAGGAGAGCGTCTAAGAGCTGCTAGTAGCCACCAACATCGATTGCCTCACCAGACAGCTCCAGGAGGCGTGGACTAAGCTTTGGCCAACAGTGCTTGACATGCTCATAACAATTATGCCTGAACGCCTTTGTCAGTGTATCGCACATAAATAGGAATATATGAAAAGATGAAATTTTCATGTTACCGCCGCTTTTTCCATTGCTATAAGACGAAAAAGTATGTTCGCGTAATTACTTTCCACCCTGTAGTCCCCCCTCCACGGTCCCAGTCCTGTCTCCCCTCCGGCCTCCCTCTATCCCAGTTCTCGTCCCTGCACTCTAACGCCTCAGTCTTGTCCCCGCCCTCAGCTCACGTCCCAGTCCTCTCAGTCCTCTCACATTTGGATTCAGTGTATTTTTATTTACTTGAAACATGTACGAAAATTCCGGAAAGTTACAGTGTGACGAAGCGGTGACCGTCGTTTCAATCCTTTCCGGATCCCGCTGCCTCTGTCGCCTCCTTCCTTGCAGGGTCGCTTCCGCCACCCCCACACACCACACACACTGCTGACTGTATCTGGTCAGCTTCTGCGCAAGGAAAGTCCTGTCCTTAAAATAGACTTAGGTTAACCTTGCGGAAATTGCATGAGGGAAAAATGTGTTGGCTGCATTTTCCAGTGATAGGTATCTTAATTTAGCACTTGTATGTCATAATTGAAATATTGGCCGACCGTCCTTGGTGCTGAATTTTGGAAGCATGTAAGCGCTTGTTGTAGTAACAGTGCCGTGACTACCTCTGACTTTTTGTGCTCATTCCACTGGCAGAGCGGGAGCTGGCGTTGTCTCTGTGTGTACTTTGTCTGTGATCATCTCTAACCAGTCTGTGTGTCTGTGACCAATTCTGATCTGTTTGCTTGTCTGTGACCACCTCTGACCCGTCTGTCCGTCCGCCCGCCCGCCGGCAGTGCTGGAGCTGGTGCTGTCTGTGTCTCTGACCTGTCTGTGTGTCTGTGTCTCTGACCTGTATGTGTGTCTGTGTGTCTGTGTATCTGACCTGTCTGTGTGTCTGTGTCTCTGGCCTGTCTGTGTGTCTGTGTGTCTCTGACCCGCCTGCCCGTCCGCCGGCAGTGCTGGAACTGGTGCTGTCTGTGTGTCTGTGTCTCTGGCCCGTCTGTCTGTCCGCCGGCAGAGCTTTGTCTCTGTGTGTCTGTGTCTCTGACACGTCTGCCCGTCCGCCGGCAGTGCTGGAGCTGGTGCTGTCGCTGCTGAAGCAGGGGCCCGACGAACAGGTGGCCAGCCGTTGTATGGAGCTGCTGGGCGCCTGGGTCGACCTGGACCTGCTGGTCACAGACCTGCTGCCCGTGCTGGACCTCGTGCTGGTGCCGTTCGTCGGGTCGCCCGCGCTGGTCAGTTGGGCTGAGGGTCTATGCCCTATGGGGATTGATCAGGTCTGGTCAGTGGTCAGTTGGTGTGACGAGTCTGGTCAGTTGGCCTGACAGGTCTGCGGGGATTGGGCCTGCCAGGACGTCTGGTCAGTTGGTGTGACGGGTCTGGTTAGTTGGTCTGACAGGTTTGAGGGGATTGGTCTAAGGGGTCTGCTCAGTTGGTCCATGGTCTGGTCAGTTGGTTCGACGGGTCTGGAGGGGGGGGGGGGGTGCTCAGATCGTCTGACGGTGTCTGCGGAGCCTGGCCAGTCGGTGACAGGTTTACCATTTCCGGGTCTGTGGGGTACGTTCAGTTGGCTCACTGAGCGAGTCGTGGGGTGTATGTACACCCTCCGGCTGATTTCGTTAGCCCCTGCTTGCCTCTGAAACTGGTTGACGCAGGCCAGGGCATTGGTGTTGGACTCTCACTTACGGGGGCCAGACCTGGCTCCATGGGATCATCTGAGCCGTTGCCGAATTCTGTACCGAGAATAACGAACAGAGCCACCACAGGTCTGAGCGCATTTGGCCGTATTCGGTCGCCCGGCCGGCTGCGGTGTCTGCGCTATCTCTGGCCGCTGTCGGACCGGACGACAGACGTCTGACCGGTCAGGGTGACGGCTTGCTGTCTGACTCACGGCCGGGGGCCCGCTTCCGTCCGGCACCGGTCGGGTCCGCTGTGTGCGACCGCAGCTTCCCGTGCCGCCGCCGCGGGTCCGCCACGGTGCCGATAAACCCGCCGCGCTGACTCACGGCGACGTCCGCAGTCCGGAGCGGAGAGACGCCTATCAGCTCTCACTCCGCTGACGCAGGTGGTGGCTGGGTTGACGTGAGGCTCGCTCATCGCGGCTGACGTATTTCCATCATGGCTGGTGTTCACGTAGTTGCAGTTAATCAGCTTCCTTATGGGTCTTGATACCCTCTGAACACTATTTGTAAACTCCAGCGCCTCAATAATTGAGACAGTCTAGCATAAAATGTTTTTCACATAAACCACGCCTATTACATAATGTAGTCCTATCAGAATACCGCTTGTGATGTTTACTATAATTCTAGCTGTGTCATATCTTAGTTGTGATCTGTTGTTTTTCTCCTCTGACCGGGGTAATAACTGGTAATACCACCGTGGTAATACCACCTTGGTAATAACGCCAGTGCTGAGCTGACAGCACACTGAACTGAGCTGGCACGGGCTGAGCCGAGTTGACAATGCACTGACAAGTGCTGAGTTGACAGCGCGCTGACACGGGCTGACTCGGACTGATAAGTACTTAGTTGACAGCGGGTTAACATGAGCTGACCTGGGACCGGGTTGACAGGGCGCTGACACGGACTGAGCTGAGCTGAGAGAGCGCTGACACTTATTGAGCTGGCTAAGCTGACCGTGCGCTGAGACGGCTGCTGACACTGAGCTGACTGCGCTGACACGGGCTAAGCTGAGCTGACAGCGCGCAGACAGACTTCTGACACTGAACTGAACTGAGCTGAGCTGAGCTGAGCTGAGCTGAGCTGAGCTGAGCTGGGCTGGGCTGACTGTGCACTGATACACTGCTGACACTGCTTTGACGTCCTCCCACAGATCAGTGTGACGCTGGACATGATGGACCGGGTAGTGACTGCTGATACTGATACACTGCCCTGGCGTCCTCCCACAGATCAGTGTGACGCTGGACATGATGGACCGGGTGGTGACACCACTGACAGCCTGCTGAGTGCTGACCCTGCCCTGGCGTCCTCCCACAGATCAGTGTGACGCTGGACATGATGGACCGGGTGGTGACACCACTGATACACTGCTGACACTGCCCTGGCGTCCTCCCACAGATCAGTGTGACGCTGGACATGATGGACCGGGTAGTGACTGCTGATACTGATACACTGCTCTGGCGTCCTTCCACAGATCAGTGTGACGCTGGACATGATGGACCGGGTAGTGACTGCTCATACTGATACACTGCTCTGACGTCCTCCCACAGATCAGTGTGACGCTGGACATGATGGACCGGGTGGTGAGCAGCCCGGCCAACTACAACTACCCCAGCAGCGTGCTCCAGCTGGCCGTCCGCGTCCTCACGCTCACACCCTTCATCAAACAGTTCGTCGACGAAAAGGAGCCGGTACGTAATGGTTAAGGTAGTGCTTGATTTCCACCTCATGGATTTGGGAACTTGCAACTTTTCGGGGTTGTGGTAATGGTAGATTTGTTCTGCCGTATCGACTTTGAATTCTTCACTTGATGATTTCGTGTGAGTACGTGACGGTAGTCATTCACTGCCATATGGCATGCTTTTCCCGTCCTCATATTTTACATGTCAGAAGCTCTACACTTGAACTCCACACAGTTTCTTGTGCTATCACGCAGAGACCTGGCTTCTAATCACTGGTCGCACTTAGGCGCGTATGACCTACCTTCCTCATGCTAGTTCCCACCAACCCCCCATCTAATAAATCATCATCATCATCATCATTCATCATCATCATTATCCTATGATACCGCCTGGATCTGTCAACGTGAAGAACAAAGTCATCCCGGCATTGCATACCATACCTTCCCTTACCGGCCTGGTGCCTCGACGTGATCTGACCTCCTCTGTTCTCCAGGAGTCTCTGGTAGCGCTGGGGAACGTGTTCACCTCCCTGGTGTCATCCCACTCGCGGACGTTCGTGTCAGCTCTGACCGGCTCAGACGAGAGCCAGGCGGATATAGCCCGGCGCACAATCGGTGCCGTGCTCGACCTGGCCTCCGTGCCGGGCCGGTACCCGACCGATGAGACCGTCTCCGAGCTGACCTTCGGCGTCTGGTACACGCTGCAGGTGGGTGAAGGTGGGACGGGTCCAGGGGAGGAGGGAGGGAGGGTTAGAGGGAGGAAGGGAGGGAGGGAGGGAGGGAGGGAGGGAGGAAGGGAGGGAGGGAGGGATGCTGAGTGGGAGGTGGAGGGTACTCGCTGCAGGCCTGTGGCTGTCGGACGACGTGAGGGAGGGGATGTGAAGGTGAACTGTAGTACGAGTACACGTTGTAGGTTTGTGACGAACGGCCCACGGGAGGGAGGGGACGTCAGGCGATGTGAAGTTGAACTGTAGTACACGTTGTAGGTTTGTGATGAGCGGCCCCAGGGAGGGAGGGGACGTCAGGTGATGTGAAGTTGAACTGTAGTTCGTGCTGTAGGGCTGTGATGGACGGACGGGAGGTCCAGGTGAGGGCGGGATGCAGTTTGGAAGGTGAACTGTGACACACGCGGCTGTAGGTTTGTGATGGACGGCCTGCTCACTCATCAGGGAAACGTGTAGGTATGTGGAGAGGGATGCCGCTTTCGGGATCTGGATTTCCCTTACCAAACTACCAAACTTTTGCCAGACTACTGCCCTTCAGCGCCTATAGTTCATTTTTTTTTTTCAAAACCGGTTTGGCTCCAAGTACGTTCTTCGACTAAGCACGCGTTTTAGCCAGCGAAACGGCCAAAACCTGAACTTGAGAAAATCGAACGTCGCCTTATTTTAACATGTGAATTATTCCCGATAAATTCCATACGTGCTTTTTAGAACTAGACATTAGAACAGTGGTGATGTCATGCTGTGAAACTTTCATTGCAATGTAATGTATACCTACCATAAACAGAACCGTTTACTCGATTCTGACCACGGCAACAGTGAAAAATGAAGCTTTCCTCAAACTTGTCGACATTTGGTGCCACCGTAGGGACATTGGGAGCCAGCTGCCACCAGTGACGTCATCATAGTATGACGATTTTTGAAGATACAAGTTCCATGTATTTACCGAACATAATTTGAAACTGAATATTTTACCGGTAACAAATTATTGACCAGACGCTGATGTTGCCAAAACTCACGTGAGACCTTCGATAATGAACTTGGAGCCAAACCGGTTTTGAAATAAAACGAACTATAGTATGAACATGAACTATGACCTCTACTGTTCGTTCTGAGAATGTTATATTCGTTGCAATTGTTAGTTGTTGTTAACTTGAAGCCACCTAACCGTAAGGAAGTTCGCTACTGTGTGACCGCTCCCTATCTGGACCGTCCAGGACGACATCCTGGCGTCTGACGAGCACAAGGAGCAGCTGACGGAGCAGCTGCAGCCCGTCTACAGCGCCCTCCTCAACGTCATGGTGCAGAAGTCGATGCTGCCCAAGGATCCGAGCGAGTACAGTCCAGACGAGGCCGAGGCCTTCCGACGATACAGACAGGACATTCTCGACTTTTATGTGAGTGACAAGGCTCGAATGTCTGGTGTGAAACAAGTTTGATGGTTTGCAACGACATATGCCCAGCTGGAAAGATCGTACACCAATATTAACGTTTTTTGGTGTTTGATTACCAACTCTTACAATACCTAGTCGTTGTACGCTTATTTACCTATTACAGAGGGATCCGGACTTTGTTTCTGATCATGTTGCTGGGCTGTGCTTGATTTGCTCTTTGGCCGTCAGAGGGTGCCCTGTTAGTGGTCTGGGTACCGCTGGTAGTCCTCCAGCCTCTGCTCGGACTGTATCGTTCTCACGTCCTGCCGCTGTTACAGACGTACACACAGTCGCTGCTGGGCGACTACATCCTGAACTCGTTCATCATCTACCTGCACGGCGCCATGCAGGCTGTAAGGGAGGACCCGTCCAACTGGCCGGCGCTGGAGTCGGTTCTGCACGGTCTCACAGGTGGGGTGGCACGGGATCGGTGGAGCGACACACACCAAGGCGACCAAATGAGCGCACAGCTCCTTCTGTGGGGTACTGTATGCCCTTACAGCTGAATGCTAATGCCTGATGCAGCTGACCATTCGGGTGAATAGATCAAGAGTTTGTTATAAACAACTGTTTTCACATATTGGAATGCACTTGCAATGTGCATTTCACATTGTCCAGCGGACACAGTGAAACGGAGAGCAGGAGATAATGCAGAACAGAAAATGTTACTTGTACATTATTACCCACGACTTGCGACTAGCAAACCCCAGCACGGACCTTCCTCCCTTCTGCAACTGTGCTGTCTCCGCCCAGAGTCTGACTCTCGACACCGGCCGTCTGTCTGACTGCCAGCACTGACCCCGGCTGTGTGCCCTCTGTTTGACTGTCGACACCGGCCCGCCGTCTGCCTCGGCAGGTCTGGGCGAGTCCTGTGACGACGACCTGGTGCTGGTGGACAGCATGCGGACCGTGCTGTTGACGCTGCCCGAGATCCCCTACAGCAACAACAAGAAGCTGATGGCAGCCGCACTCAAACTCATCGGTAAGTCTGCTGCCGGCAGCTGGGCGCTTGGACTTTGGGGTCCGATGCAGCGGCTGAGGAGCTAGATCGGTTGGCACACTCGCGGCGCCACCTACAGTCGTGGTACTTGGAGGCTGTGGCATCCGTTGATCCACACCGTTATTAGATCGACGTTTTTAGCAATACGTGGCCGCAGATGAGTTGGAACGTGGGATAGGACGAACGCAATTTAGCCTTTGGTATGCAAATATGTGTAGACTGCTACTTATTTTTAAAGAAGTATCTTGGCGTTCAGTGCCCTCGCGGCTCTCGTAAGTTCGACGCTTTGTTAAGGCACCTGAATTGCATGGTAGACGCTGCCACTAAAGGTGAACTTACTAACACCCCTTAGGTGTGTTCTTTTCCCAAGAATAATGAATGTCGCGGCCTGCTACCGGTATATGGGATTAGCCGTGTCATAGGTGTCGTGTGACCACACCACTGAAGCTAACACCTGTCCGGAAACTGGATTACTTAACTGATCGCCGCCATGCGTTGCCGTTCAACAGGGGTAGGCTATGATCTACCCACGAACAATCGGGGTTTTACCACCGGCTTATCGAAAAGCTGCTCAGCAGTCGAGGAATGCACTTAACAAAAGCCACGCCAATCCCTAAAAAGGTGACCATAATATCGTGTCGATCTCAGTGCGATGAGTTGTCCTCAGACAGGTTCAGCTGCGACGCCGCCTAATGGGTCGTTTTTGTGGGTGTCGGCCGGGCTGGTTGTCAGACAGCTCTGGGCTGGGTCGGACGGGGTCGGTCAAGGGCATGGCGATGTAAATTGCGTCAGCCAGTGTCTCGTGAGGCCGTTCTTCCGCGGTGGACGACGCTCAAAACCACCAGCGGCGGGTGTGCCGTCAGGGCGTGGTATTGCCAACACCTGCCGACCGGCCCCAGTGGCCAGTGCTGATGAAATGCCAGGTTCACTGCCGTGAGACGGGCCCACGCGGGTCTGGGGAAGCCGTACGGGGACGGGCGACACGCGGGTCTGCAGACGCCGCAGTGAGCTGTCGCCAGCCGGTTCATACTAGTCATAACCGGCGACACCGTCTGTCACAGCTGTAGATATGAACCGGCACGAGGCGTAAGCTCACTGAGCTGTTTGCTGGGTAATGCTGAGCGAAAGGTGCAGCCCGAAAGGTTCCCTGTTTTCCATCCTTAGAACAGACAAATCTTTCTCCTCCACGCCTCTTTCCCCTGCTCCAGACTGAATGGGCAACTTTATCCCATGCGGGATTGCCCGTAGCCGGGTGCGGTGAGGCTTGCGGGGCTGGTCGGCCTGGCCTCGTAACGGGCTCAGCCCTGGCGACTCACCAGGGTGCCCGCCCAGACCAATGTCTCTCCCTAATTCCTATCATCCTTACGGCCCTGAAATGGTCTCATCAGACCGAAAGGGCCCAACCCAACAAAACAAACAAAAGATGCTGCCCAGTCTTCGGAAACCTAGCTTTTGTTGAGTCAACGGCTGGCCTGCCGACCCGTAAAATGGTTCCAAATTTAACTGCAAGTCTCAATTAACGTGTATGTAAATTGTAAAACTTCTTTAATTATTGAAGCCCTTTGCATTGCTTTACATTTCCTTTCACGTGAGCACGTGATTACGGCGTGGACTTGGACGACGCTGCGCTCAGTTTCCCAACCGAGACCGCAGCGAGATGAAACACGAGACCAGCGCCCGACGCCGGTCGGCTGAGGGGCACGAGACGCACACGAGCCGCCTCGAGGCGATAGTCGGGCACTGAAACCCTAGAAGGCACGAGAGTCGGCTCGGGACGGCTATGGACCGCGTGATGATGTGTGTGTGGGCCGTGGGCCGTGGGTGGGGTGGGGGAGGGATCGGATATCTGATGCCCGTCTGCAGTCCGCCACATGCGCAATGCGATCTCAGGCTCAGGTCGGGGTATCACCAGTTCCTAATTGTCATTAGGAGAATTTAGGTACTCAAAATAATGATTTCTGAAAGGAGTAATACAGAAATTGGATGGTGGGGCTGACGACTGTCTTTTTGAGTTTTCTACACTCGAGGTACCATCGGTCCTGTGGCGCAATGGATAACGCGTCTGACTACGGATCAGAAGATTCCAGGTTCGAATCCTGGCAGGATCGGAACTTTTCGTCGGTGGTGATAGTGGACAGTGGTAGTGTTGTGTGACTTTATTCGACAGCTGTATGACTCTGTGTGTATTAGGTAATTTCGCCGTCATTTTCACGATATATGAAACATTGATGTGGTGCGCTGTTGCGGCTCAAAACATAAGAAGTCGGCCACCAAGCTGTGCGAATGGGCACGCCATGGGTTTCACTTCGATTGAACTGCTTCGCTTGCATACCTACTTTTAGTGGCTAACTTCTTCGAAAATAGTTTTGCCAGAGAGGGGCTGTGGTCTTTGGATCTTCATAGGGTTTTCATTCTTGCACAGCACCGAAAATCCCACTTTCGGTCCGGATTTCTGGCAGGTATTTGTCTTTTGTGGGAGCTCGATGGTTTACTGGAGCAAAAGTCATCAACGCTGGCGATATGCTGTTTTTGTTTTCCTGGAAAAAACTAAAAAGCAAGGTGAATGATGTGGCATCGGTGAAGGGGGGCGGGGGCTGTAGACGCGGTACAAAGTTTTAATTCTCGGTCTTCTTATTTGTTAACTCTGCGTTTGTTAGACAATCGTCGGTACTCGTTAGGATGGTTGTTACGGTTTTTGTTAATTTCACATTGCTCGTTCGTTGATCGGGGATCCTCGTCGTGCATTTAACACAAAGTTATTCACAATATCAGCCACTCAATACATTTATATATTAAAAGATTGCCACTGAAGATTATAGCAGACACTAGGCTCGCGCCCGCCCACTTTTTCGTTTGTGTTGTTAACATGTTGTACCTGCACCCTGATTAGTGATTTTATCCTCGCTACCTCTGCGAACTGCTGGGTATTGTGTGTGTGCCGGTGACCCTGCGGTGTCCTCCCGTGACCCCCACAGGTCGGGGCAGGCGGGGGTTCCCCGTGGACACCCGTCGGCCCGGCAGCCGACCTGTCCGACCGCTGCCGTCACGCCAGCAGACTGCCCCCGATTGTGGACGACATTCTCTGTGACCGGTCCCCCGCACGCGAGCGAATCACCGAGTAACAATGTCTGGGCACAGGCCGTGTGCCCCGGGAAGGGCGTTTTTACTCGTACCTTCAGACGGGCGCGCACGTGGGGCTAGAGTCGCCTAATTCCCGCCAAGAAATGTAACTGCTACACACAGACGGGATAGATTATCTGGATGGGTTTGGTTAGACAATTTTGAAGTCCGGCTCGGATTGAGGTATAGCATTCTTTGTATGACACTTTGACCGCTTCATCGGTCCAAATTGACTAACGAGGCAGTCACTCCTCTGTGAGCAGCTTTTGCGGCTTGTCCGCTCAAATTTCGACCAAAGCTAGCCAGTGTGTGTGTAGCGGCGTCGACCTCGTTACCCGCTGTCCGACATACTTCATCACACCAACTTCACTCGCCCATCTGTATCACCGCTCACACAGCAGCGTCAGACGCGGTCATATGGTTTCCTTCTTCAGGAAGAGGCGACACTAAAAACGCCCAACGCCCGGCCACTCCCCCGAGAAGGTGACCATTGTTATCCGCCCGAGCTCGGTGGTGTAATGTCGCGGCCTGATACGGGTTGGCGTTAATTGCGTGAGCAGCGAGTCAACACTGGTTGTGACTCAGTTCCTCGATACGGAGCGGCACAGCGTTATCCTGGTAGTTGCTGTGATGCCAGGCATTGTCCGGGACGCGCGCGGCTCTGCCGGCGGCCCAGCCGTTCGCCGAAGGTGCCGACGGCGCGCGATGGCACGGGCGTCTCCGGCGCCGGGCCATGTCACGATCTGACCCGGCTGATGGCACCTCTGTTGCACCACTGCCCCGCCACCATTGTTCGGCAATAAAACTGTCCGATATTATGCACTACCTACTGACTGCAAGGCTGTAAAAACGACGACAAACAAAACGAGGAAACTAGACGCGAACTGGTGCCATTGAATGGGCCTTGTGCCATTGATGGGTGCGCTCCCCTTCCGGCCCTGTGACTCACCAACCAGCTCACTAACCAGTCGGCCAACGGTGGTGACCGCAGCTCGGCAACCGTGCGCTAACTGCGCAGAGATGTCGACATTTCATCCACTCAACCGTGGCCACCTAATGATTTTACCATACTCCAGGTACTGGCTACGGCTGCGCGATAACCATAGTCCAAAACTTGTTCAGCAGTGATAGTAACATATCTCACCAGCCATGCGTCACCAGTCTCATCACACAAACCGATGATCATACCGCATTTAGCGATAATAACATTATCATGATTGTAGCGGTGACAGCCGGTCGTCAACTGCATCGTACTCACTATTTTTCTCACTTTTTCGCGATCAACAGCTCACGATTTTTGCTGTCTCGACTCAAAGTTAGCGACTGTCGGCTCGACAGTCGACACCCTGACTGTCACTTGTCTTACCCCTCTTGTCTTACCTCCAGACTCGAACAGCGCCTGTCTGGACCTACATACGAGTACACACACAACCTGTAGAGTACCAGACAGCCTGTCACGTGTCTCACCCTCCCCCCTCTGTTCTCCAGACTCGAACAGCGCCTGCCTGGACCTCCACCCGGACTGCCTGTTCAAACTGATCCCGATGCTGCTCGCCGGTCTCACCGATCCCGACGTGGCGCTCTACTCTACCATGGCGCTCAAAGACATCTGCCAGGAGGCGCCGGCGTCTATGGCGCCCCACGCAGCGCAGGTCCTCACGGCGTGCAAGGTCAGAGACGCGCCTTGTTAGGGAGGGGTCACAGCGGGGGCAAGGAAAGGAGGGGTGTATTCGCGGTCAGGGAATGGAATGGAGCGTTAAAAGATGTTTTTATTTTTGTATTGGAATGCCTTTCACTGTTAGAAGATCGGGACTATCGTTTGCCTGGCGTGCTAGTCTGAACCACAGGTGTTCTAGGATATCATGGGATGCCTCCATCTTGCCTGCTATATAGTGACTGACCTCTGACCTGCCCCGTCCCTAGGAAGTACTCCAGGCCGACCGGCTCTCGGGCCGGGAGTGTGACCCCTGACCTGACCTCTGACCTTACCCCTGACCTGCCCCGTCCCTAGGAGGTGCTCCAGGCGGACCGGCTCTCGGGCCGGGAGTGTGACCCCTGACCTGACCTGAACCCTGACCTGACCCGTCCCCAGGAGGTACTCCAGGCTGACCGGCTCTCCGGCCGGGAGTGTGTCCGACTGATGTACGTCGTGGGCTCGCTGCTGCGGTTTGTCACCGAGCACGAAGAACGACTCAAGGTTATGGACGACATCATTAGGCCTTTCATCCAGGAGTTCAAGCGACTCGTGGATGGAAAAGACTCTGTGAGTTTGGTGACAATGGGTGCCTGCATGTTGTCGCGCTTCGACCGGTGGGTGACCCTGGCCGATTACCGTGAGCGCCTGTGTACTCGACGGTACACGCTGGTGTTTACCCACCGCTTTCTCTTGTTTCCTACTGCCGAACCTGCCGAATTCCTTCTTGTTGTTTGTTTTGATCAGGGTCTAGTTTCCGTGAGCGTCATGACTTCCTTCATTAGTAACCGTTAATAGAGGACGGTAGGTGGCTTCCCTAAACGACACCCACCTCAGTGAAAATTGTCATTTTTAGTAGTCGTTTTGGAAATGCACTCTGCTAACAAACCGTATCCATTCGCTCCCTTTGACAAACACAAATGCACCATCTGAAGTTATGAGTTCAAAGTGACATTTATCGTCAAGGGGATCCTCAACACGCAGTCACCTGCCTATCTCCTGCCCGTGGGCCCACCGATACCCACTGACGCCTCCCCTCGTCTCCCTCCGGCCGCTGGCCGACCGCAGCAGAAGGTGATCAGCAGCAAGAGCCTGCTGGTGGTCCGGGTCAACATGTTCGCCTCGCTGGCGTCGGCAATGGCGTTCGACGACGAGCAGTCGGCGGGCGGCCAGCTGGCGTCGCCGCTGCTGCTGCTGCTGCGCGAGCTGCTGCCGTCGCTGCTGTTCCTCGCCAATTGCGGCTCAGAGGACGAGGTCATGGCGGAGGTGAGGGACGGGCGGGGTCAGCAGAGGTCACAGAGGTCAAACGGGATGGTGTCAGCACAGGACAGGGGCTACAGAGGTCAGACGGGTCGGGTTCAGCAGAGTTCACGGAGGGTATGACTGAGCTTCAGTAAAGGTCACATGGTACAGAAGTGAAGTGTAGGTGAGATGATGTTTTTCGTACTCCAGCGTAGATGGGTAGCCATTCGGCTTCCACGGTTGACAGTGATGACATCAGTCATCTTTTGCAAGCTCGTTAAAGAATTGGGCTGTACAAGTCCCCGTACAGCCCAAATTCTTTAACGAGCTTGCAAAAGATGACTGATGTCATCACTGTCAACCGTGGAAGCCGAATGGCTACCCATCTACGCTGGAGTACGAAAAGCATCATCTCACGCTCTCAGTCCCAGCGGATAAAAACAACACCTAAAAGTGAAGTGTAGGGTCGGCGCAGGGGGGGTCGAAGTCTAGTTCATACTAGACTGGCAACCCCACGGCTGACGTCACGATCCCCAGCGTGACGTCACAGCCCCAGGGCATTGACCCCTTGAAGCTTGCAATATTTGATGGTGCTTACTAGGGTGTCCCAAATTTCACGAAGTTTTCCAATTCACTTAGGATACACCGGGATCCCGTTCCTTGGTTCATTTGAACCTCACACACCAATTTATAGAGTAAACTACCGGTACCGGGTCGCCGGAAATCAGACGATGTCAGGTGGTTGTCTGGCGATATGCCGTGTCTGGAAGCGACAAGACAAATTATAGCCAGCCGGTGACTGGTCAATGGTCATCTCCGGATCACGGGGGATCACTTCATCCCCAATTGCCGTCTGTTTATACGCAAGTGTGTTTCCGATGCTTTGTTAAAGTTTGTGTGTCTGACACCTTTCTCCCCCTCTCCCGCCCGGCCAGTGCATCTGCCACTTCCTGCAGCGCAGTATGAGCAGCCTGGACGACGCCATGGAGCCGTTTGTGGACGCGTCTCTGAACATCCTGAGCACGCTGTACTCGAAGGAGCCGCACCCGCAGGTGCTCGACCTCGTCAGACAGGTGAGGGACGCGCCGCGGGCCGCTCTGTGCAGGCTCGGCTGCCGCCTGGCGACTCGGTGCCCACAGGTGTGGTGTATTTTTAACTCGTGTGTTCACGTGGTACGCCATGCACGAGTGAGTACAGATATCAGCTTTATGGTGGGAGAGATAAGCTGCTTAGCCCGAATGGGCTGACTTTTAATGGGAGGTACGCCTTATATAACGAGGAAGAGCAGATGGGTTCAAAAACGATGGAAAGTGTATGGTCACGTGGATTTCGTGGTAGTCTCGGAGATCGATGCGGCTTCTCAGTACCTGAGCACATGTATTAATTAGACGCCGACGCCAGGTCGATTGGCTTCATGCGATGCGTATAATGGTGCTCAGCTGACAACAATGACGCCCATAAAATATAAGAAACGAATTGCGAACCGAAGCATGAAACAGAAAAAGCGCAACTGAGCTACGGTGCATGCAAGTAATAATTGCGTCTCCGGTTAGTAGCATATGCTTCTTGAATGGAACATGCGACTCGTTTTTCTTTTACACGTTCAATGAACGCCCTGAAAGGAAATTCATTAGCAGGGATGCGCTGAAAAGTATAATTGCTGGTAGATTTAGGTGCAGGAAAACTGCTGACTACATGAGTAATAATACTATGAGCGCTGTTTCCTGTCAGTGCCAGCTGCCGAGTGGCGCGTCCCAATGGCGTTTGGCCGTGGCTGTGATTTTTACCGTGTCAGGCGGTGACTGTCATGATATGGGACATTTTTCGCTCGCGTGGTGTATTATTGTTGTTTTGTGACGACTTTGGCTATGAACATAGCCTGGCGGAAGTTATTCAATCGTACCAGACATCTGTTTTAAGTGCATTATCATAGCAGTTCCGGGCTAGTCAATATGATTGTGTGCAACTCCCAGAAGCTTTCGCGGTCGCAGGTGCAAGAATCCCACCCGTTTTAGACTGATAGACACCCTGATAAGCTAATCACATCGCCGGCTGTCTTCCTGAAGCCGGTGGTGCTGTTCGACTCGCGGAAACACGTCGCTGCTGTCACCGCAGACAGCTCAGCCACCGTGGGCCGTCCGTGCCCTGGGCGGCGGGCGGGGTGCGGGCCGCGCCACCGGTAGCCGCCCGGGGTGCGGGCCGCGCCGCGCCACCGGTAGCTGCCCGTGTCACCACTGAGCTGTCGCCGAGCGGCGGCGCTAAACCGCCGGACCGCCGGCCCACCCAACGCCCAGGTGGTACTGTATCGAGTCGTCGGCACGTCACCGGATGGGCTAATGCCGCGCGGACGTCCAGCTGTGGACGGCCTCCAGGATGTGCCGTCCGTCCCACACCCCGGCACAGGGACAAAAATGAATTATATGATAATGAGCTGGGCCGGACGTGTCTGCTATTTCCGGCTCTGCCCGACAGACGAGGTGCATGCCAGAGCGCTGATCAGCTGGGAACAAGGCGTGCTTGGTCAGGTTTTTTGTAATGTTTTGGGTAACCGAAAGTTGATTTTAATGGGGCCGAGAACAAGCAATAGGTTCTATCACAGTTAACAGATGGAACCTACTGTTACCTGTGGTCCCATGATTTCCCATTGATGTGGAGGGAACAGCCACGGGGACGAGAGACTGAGTAGCTTTGTGATTCGGCCTATGCGCATGCACTCTGGGGTCAGAGGTCACATTCTTTGAGCTAATTATTACTTATAGCATATGGACGGGATGGATGTCCCAATTTTTCCGACCTGGTACTTAGCGGGGTCGAGTCATGATAAAAGAGTCCACCAAGCATCAAACAGAAAAAGTAACTGAACCACGTCTGCCACGTGATTCAACATTGCGGAATGTTCTTTTTGTTACCTGCTGGAAGAGTTTGAGGCAACTGTTAACTCATCCCGTGGGAATATCCAGTTGATGTTCTTATCGCATGTCCGCTCTGCGGTCATCTGGTCTGCTGCGAGACTGAACACAGCACGCGAATCACGACCGAGCCATTTGGAGAAATTGTTCTAATGACCAGAAAGGAATGCTCTTTGTCGTTTTCCAGGGAGTCCGCCCTTCCTCACTCACGCTACTTGTAGCTATGCAGGTGGACTCGTAATCACTTCAGTCACTCTGCTGGCTGTTCGCAGTTTTGTGGTGGGTACTCTCCTCACTGGTTTGTACAAACCTGCTGTGTCATCGCGCTCACTGCGCTCCGTGTTATCAGAGTTTTTTTTTACCAGTTGTCCGTAACTGATCCAGAGACTGGTTTAAAAGTACGCAGAATGTTTTCTATCACAGTAGCCAGCTGTTGATATGCGAGCTAAAGTCTGAATGCTTTTTGACATCCTGTCCCCTGTCATCCCGTTGTTTTTCTGTAGTCTACATATATGTTGATACATGTGGTAGTACAGATCTTACATTCGTGACATCATCAGTGGTTGGAGTCTGGAGATATACGGCCTTGGGCTGGAGCACCTTCAGGTAAAGAAGTTACCTACCAAGTTCTAGCCATGCTTTAATCCGCACTGCAAACATGAGCGCCATTGACAGATCACGGCCGATTGCGCAACCCCAACTTACCTATATTGCGCAAAATGAATGTCTTCACGCTCCTTGTAACACTTTCCTTGTCTGCATCTGAAATGATGTGAAAATATTGTGTGGAATGTATGTATGACTTCACACGTGGTCCAGTAAATGATTTAGGTTGGAGGCATTTAAGCTAAAACACGGGTTAGCCCTCAGCTCAAATGTCAATGAAGACACCAACTATTATTGGCCAAACTACAAACCACCTGATACTGTGGGATGTCAGGGGCATGTGGTCTCGTGCAATTCACGGATGTCACCAGACACCATCTGCGAACAAAGACTTGTGTGATGCTCATTTAATGCTAATGAACGTAATTCCGAGGAACTGGATCGTTTATTGCACATTTTACGTGCGTGCGATTGTTCATTATAATATTCACCCCTTTGTTAATGCATTCATACATTCTTTCATTCATTCGTCTATCCAAACATCCGTTTATTATTTGATTTTATATATTGATTTGTTCATTCGCTCTGTGATTGTAATGAACCGCGCACATTTATCGATCAATGTCCGATTTCCTTGGGGCCTCTGCTCTCTGGTGTAGCGCCCCGCCCCGCCGGTGTGTCCTGTTGTCCTCTGGCCGGGCCAGGTGTTCGGGGCGCCGACATTACCCGTGGAAGGCGGTACCGGGCCGCCAAGGTAACGAGTTTCTCACAGCTCCGGGGGACGACCCAGGCCGCCCCCGTGGCCTCGCCGGCGGCCCGAGCTGCCGCCCGCCGCCGGATGAGTAACTAGGTGTGGCTGCCGGCGTGTCAAGGAAACTACACCTGTGTCCGGCGACACCAGGAAAGAACCGCTCGGTGCCATGCAATTCGGCCGTGCGTCTGAAAAACGGGACACTGAAAAATGTAAGGACACTGCCATGCGTCTGAAAAAGATGAGAGGTTGACTTAATGTAGAGGAAAGACGCTAATTGCATCATGTCATTCAGCGTAAGCACTTCAGGAAAGTTACTCGGCTGTAGGCAGTTTTACATAAGCAGGGTATTATTGAAGCTGAATGTAATTCATTTTTGTTGTGGCGGAGAGAGGCAGCGCGAGGAAGTTGAGTGCCGGGTCTGACTCACGGCCGTCCTCGCCGAGCGGGGTGTGCTCTTTCTTCTTGGGGTCGGTGGCAGACGGTGGAAGGTAGGGTACAGCCATGTAGGACGAGTGCGCCCTGGGACGAGCCGTCTGAGATGGAACATTAATAGGTACTTAGGGTCCTGTCGGGGCCTGCTAGCTGCCGTTGGTTTGGCTGCGGTCTGTGGTGACCTATGCTCCCTCTCCGTCCCTCTGACTCGCTCCCTCTCTGTCCCCTGACTCGCTCCCTCGCTCTCCCTCAGATGCTGCTGACGTTCCGTCTGGAGGGCCCTCTGGACTCACTGATATTCTCCCTGTCTATCCTCAGATGCTGCTGACGTTCCGTCTGGAGGGCCCGCTCGGCCCTGTGATGCAGCAGGTGTTTGGCCAGGTGTGCGCCGGCAGCGTCCGCTACTTCTCCGCTGACCTGGGCCGCTACCCCGAGTCGCTGGTGAAGTTCTGGGAGGTGCTGTCGCAGCTGGTGAAGAAGCGACCCAACTACCTGACCGGCGTGCCCACTCAGCTGGGAGACCTGCTTCTGCTCGGTGAGCCGCGCTCTCCCAGTCCCCAAACTATGGACCGTCCTTGCAAGACTCAGCTTCAGTTATTGCGTGGCGTGGCAGTTTTTTTTATAATTTGGGCAGTAAAAATTGGTGGAAAATCAAAGCGCTGTTGTTTTTTTCACTGGGTTTGTATCATTTTTTACCTAATGTGTGGGACTTCGTTGACAGAGACAGAGACTGTATCCCTCAGTCAGAAACCCTGGCGACCTGAGCCGACTCACCCACTGTGCGCTGCCCCGTCTGCGCCCACAGCCTCTGCGTGTGTGACGCTGCCCGACCGGCGCGTCATGTGCTCGTCGTGCTCGTTCCTGGCGCACCTCATCTCCAAGGCGCCCGAGCACCAGGTGTTCGCCTCTCACCTGGGCACGATCGGTGCTCAGCTGGTGCACCAACTGCTCACGGCCATCGGTGAGGAGCGCACTGGGGGCGGCTGTCCCACCTGGCTAACGGGAGGGCGCACTGAGGGGGGCTGTCCCACCCGGCGGACGGGAGGGCGCACTGGGGAAGGGCTGTCCGACCCGTCAAACGGGAGGGCGCACGGGGTGGGCTGTTGAGGTGGTGTCGAGTGGCTGTTACACCGGCTGCCCGTGATAGAGCCGAACTCGAGACACCGGGGATGGCCCGGGGCGAGGGATGGAGAGGGTCAGACTGGGTGGCTGATAACTTAGTATCGCATAATTGAGGCAGGAAGGGCCAATGACCGGATGCTATCAAACACTTTGGATACCGTGAGCGAAGTGTGTTAGTCACGGCGCAACAAAGAACACTAGAATATTGCCAAGTGGTTAAGTGTATGACTAATAAGCACCAGTTTGATTATTTTTCAATTATATGAAGTGCTTCTCCAGTGTATCACAGGTATAAGTACGCTGTCAATGCATTATTTCTGGTCGCTGTAGATAGTACCATGTTTATTGCGTGTTAGTTTTGAGTCATCTTATTCCGTCGTTTAGCCCCTTTACGGTATCCCAGGATTAAGTTGGGATTTATTGCCTCAGGGATGTCATGTTGCATGATATTATCTAGATATTAAAAATTAGTATTGTTTTAACCGAACTTGCCTGAACACCAACCAGCTTTGTGCCGAAGAAATGACGCCACGATTCATTGGAACTATGCGCTGGTTAGGTTATCCCGGAGAACGTATAATAATGCCTCTATTCGAGGATATTAGTTTGGCAACATCGCCTACGCGTCAGTAATTGGAAACCTTGGAGCGCCAACGGCGTAATTTACTGCTATTGGATTACTGAGCCGTTCGCCAGCGAAACTGGAAAAGATCCGGATCTTTCGGTGCCGGGAGACCGCCCGTTGCGACAAAGGAGGGTGGAAAAGCGTTATGTAATTGTTTGTCCGAAGTTTGAGTAAGTCTCTCGTTAAGAAACGTATAGGAAGCATATTCTTGCACGATCGTTGGGCGGGTGTTACGTATTTGCACAGTCATGGTCATGCAGCTGTATTTCAGTGATCTGATAACTCTAGTGCCGCCGTTATCCAGTCAATTGGTCATCTCAATTTCCCGTTTCGCTCCAAGCATTATGACTTTGCAAGTTGCGACTGATATCGACTGCAATCCTTCCCAACAGTTAAAACCATCGGGGCAGACAAACATCATTCCGATGGAAGATTACATGCTGGACAGTTGAAGACGTTACTTTGTGCAAGTGATTTTTTTTTTTTGAACTAATCAGTAGATGTGACTCAACATTTCCGATGCCTATTTAGAATTCGCATGGCTGTTAATCCCCATTTGTGCCCCTGCTTTCTGCTGTCCTATCCTACTGAGCGCGTATCTGGCCACATGTGACCCCTCTAACCCCTCTGACCCCCTCTGACCACACACGACCCCCGTCTGACCCCGTCTGACCCCGCGGTCGGCAGGCGGCGCCGTACCCCGGGACTGTGTCGACCACACGGCTGACGTGTTCCTGGCGATGAACCGGGCGAACGCGGGCGACCTGAGCCGCTGGCTGACCGCCGTCCTGGCCCAAGATGACTTCCCCACCCGACGAGTCAACGACGCCGACAAGAAGATCTTCATGAAACATGTGCTCCAGTGAGTGGACATTTGGCTTATCTGGCTGGGAGGCAGGCTAACTAACTCGGGGTGCTGACCTCTGGTATGAGCATTCATTGCCAAAACAGTATGTGGGATGCGTGTTTTTTTGTGCGTGTTTTTGGTGTTTCATAATTTCACCCCTCGAACTGTAGTCTCCTCGACAGGAAGTCAGTCATGTTTTCGTTTTACATTTGTCGAAATCCCATTTTTGCTGCGCGAGCCAGTCGCGGCAATTCTTTGATATTCTCTTTTTATGAGCCACGTGAGGATTATCATTCCGTTGACTGCCTTACCGTGGCTATGACGTCCAAAGTGCCGGTGTTAATCCATGAGATGTTCGTCTGCTAATCCCTGAGATGTTGTCTGCTACTCGGCGAGATGTTGTCTGCTGATCTGAGAGATGTTCGTAATGCTGTGTCCGGTATCTGACGCCTGTGTCTGTTCTCTGCCGCGCAGCAACCGCAGCAACATGACCTTCCTGCGCGGCAAGGTGGCCATATTCAGCCAGCAGTGCCGCGGCCTGTACGGGTCCGAGTACGCGGCGGCGACACTCAACACGGGCGACCCGCCCTCCGTCTGAGGCGGCGGGCGGTGGGAGACCCGCCCTCGTAGCGCCCACGGAATGGTGGGCGCGAAGAGCCAAAACATCGCTGGGTAAGGTACAAGCAGGCCAAACCGGGCCAAACTGTGCGAGAGCTGCAGTTATCAGACCGATCTGAACTACCTACTTCACTGAGCACATATAAATCATCGTGTATAGGCAGTGCGCAGTAATAGACGAACAACGATCGGTGTTTAATGAACTCCTGTGTCTGATCGGGATTTGTGGCAGCATGGTAGCCGTTACATTCTGAGGTTATATCCTCTCACTTCCTACCTTCGCCCTCTGCCGAGTGGTCGCGCTCGGTGGTAGGATAGTGTCCGTAATTGCAGGGTAGCGTTCAAACGGAGCGACTTTCACGATCTGATGGGCTTTTAGACCTCGCGGCTCGTGTGCCGGGCACAGCTCCTCTCGTCGCCGGAGGCTGTCGGTGGCGGAGTCGCCCATGTCGCGTCTCGGGCCTGTCTGGGGACTGTGAAGTGTTACCTGTGTTCGGCGGGCGGCAATAGCCGGGTGTGGGACGCCGCGTGTTGTCTGTAGTGCGCGGAACGCGCCGGCCCGCTCGCTGTATTCTGTGATATTATTTACAATGGCCAGAGGAGCGCGGCGCCACCGCGCCGCGCGGCACGTGGCTTTTCGTACGTTTTAGCGCTTTATTTGACGATGCGCCGTTCATTGATTTGTAAAATACACTATCTGCCCGTGATTGTGCTGTTTTGTACTGAAAACTGGCGCTTTTAATGTTTCCCGCACATTCTAAGGCACATTCTAAATTTTGCGTTTCTGTGTTCCAGAAATGAATTGAATATCGTATCATACCGTTTGATATGACTAAACGTTTGCAAGCTATTGTTGATTTGAATTATCCGCTAAGCCTGCAACACAGTTGTATTCTTGCCGAGCATACGGACTAAGGAACTGTTATTCTTCTCTGGTGGGCGTCCTTATCATGCCACGTGGCTTAATCTGCCGTTAGTTTTATATTTAGAATACAGTGTGGTTGGGAATCTTGCTGACAAACATGTGGTCAGCAACGTCAGTCGTGTTGTGAAGAGATGCTAATCAGATTAATCATACCTACCATGAGCAGAAAGAATACCTCAAGTGTTGTATCCTTGTAATCACAAGGTGCTCTGAGCAGCAGCTTTCCATAGCTGGGTTTGGTGTGCTGCAGTTATTGTTGGTCTGGAAAAAAATGATAATCCATGAGACTGTTAACTATTTAATTATTTTAACTAATGATGCCTATTTTATTGTATTAACTAATCAACACATTTGTTTTTATTCCTACAAATTGAGCGCCAGTAAGGCATTAGCGAGGGAAATATATTTCATAACAAGCCACTTTTTGGTGTTGCGATGCCGAAAATACCCCGGCCACGATATTCCTCCGCGTAAAAATGCCACCGCTTTGTCATGCAGCGTAATGCCGCAAAGCACAGGAACCGTTGGCCTGCAGGTCTGCTAATTTTACCGAGATCAGCGCACGGCGCCTCGTTTGCGCGGCCCGCCCGGCATGCCGACATCATTCATCCGAGGCTGTTCCCATCGCGGCGAGCATGGCATCGCAGCGAACGACTCTCATAGTCGACGCCTAACGGTCCTCCATCAGATACGGCCGACCGCAAGGAGCCTTATCCACGGCGAGAGCTCGACTCCGGTCCGGGCGACTCGTGAGTGGCCGCCTTCCCGGTCCTATTTTCACCATCTTAGTTCCACCGGTGAGCCTCAACATCCGTCTTATGCAACTTACCGGCCGCGTAACAAGGCGATTACGTCCGCGGCCGCCGCCTTATCTGCGGCACGTTTCCGCTGCGCGGCCGTGTAAACAGCGGCCCACTCATCCTGACATGAGCGTGAGGCGCGCGGTTACCTAAGCTCGCGGCGGTATGATTCACCAGCTGTCGGACGTCAGTGAGCTGTCACTGTTGATTACGAGCCGCCCCCGCCTCGGCCCCGGCCCCGGGCAGACGTCAGCCCTGGGTCCGGGAGTCATCTCTGGCCTCTGCAGAAGTTTACGGCCGTGACGGCACCGTCTCGTGACAGAATGAATCATGCCCCCATCCCCACCGTGCCCTTTCCGCGCCCCGTTAGCCAGTGACTGTGAAGTGTGAATGGTGGCCTGCCGGACACGTGCTCTACCAGGCACCACTCCGTCAATGGGCGGAAAGTGCCGAGCTAAAGCCTACCAAGTGTTCACGCGAGAGCTGTCTCACTCCGCGAAACGCGTTCATGAATGGCGCTGTTCATAATGTTTTATGAGTGCTCAGGTACCTACTTCATACTTGCAGGTTTTCCTTGGCTTCAGATACACGAAAGAAATAGTAATAATAATAAGATAATTTCGAATGTCGCTTTAAGAAACCTGTATTTTTGGAGGCAAATCGATAATCGTCGATAATTTGTAACTTGCAGGACATCCTATTTTTGACCCACTGATGGCCATGGGCCTCCTGATCCCGAATTACACGAATTGATCGAGCCCGTTTTCACCTATCCGTACCTATAATCTATGTATTGGAATGGAATATAACTATGAAACGCACCGATATGAGCAATTCGGAACTGCGGGAAATCACTTCCAGATAACTGCTGTTGCAGATAACTTCCAATTTGTGATCACGGGCCAGGTAGCATTCATGTCCAAGTATTATACCACGCTCCCTAAATGTGCACGTATATACACGTATGTACATAGTTACATGCACTGTACATACCTTACATACAGGTCATTACGTGAGTGGGCCGAGGGCGAAAAAGAATTCTTTCGATCGTGTTTCCACAGTTTTAGTAGGGCCGTGTCCTCGGTACCTTCTGCTGTAGGTGTACCGTGTTACGTGTGGTAACCCCCCCCCCCCCCCCGGAGGTTTTTCTTAGCTACACGCCGAACCGTTTCAGATAGCCTGCTCAAATTTTCAGTACCACTACCCTATGGGGCATCTTTTGCGGCCAGATTTACGCTAAATTGGAGATTGCTTCACATTGGTAAAAATGCCGACTGACCTGACACACTGATGGATTGTTTTATAATCATAACTGGCTGATTTGACATTGGCACAATGTCCGTTGACCTTTTCAAGGTTACTAACCCGGCAGTTGCTGGGGTATTTCGCCACCCACCGTTTGCTGGGGGGGGGGGGGGGGGCGTTAAACGCCCCCAGCCGATAACTCGAGAACCAATAGGCGCAGCGAAACGCACGAGGCGGCAAACGAAAGAACGCGACGAGACGCTTCAGATGAGTACTTTAAAGTTGAATTTTGAGGTCACAGGTCGGGTCAAGGTCAGGTCAAACACCTGAAATCGGGCTTTCAGTAGCATGGACTTCAGGACTTCGCAATGGGCGCCTCTCGTCATAAACTCTGTCAAAACGATGCACAATCCATCATATAAGGCCTACAAGAGTGTCAGCTCCATGTAGGGGTCAGTCAAGCATAGGTCAGGGTCAAGGTCAGGTCAACCAGGTAGGCACATATCCTCGAAAATCAAAACTGATATTCGCAGCCTGTGGCACATGTTTTATGGGTAATTTGGGGCGTAGAACACGATGGTGGCATTCATTTTATCATATGTGTACGTGTTTGGCTCAAAAAGTTCAATTTAAGAAATACATGTATCATGGTCGTGAAGTAGTCACGAGAAATTGCCAAGATTCAGTTCAAGATTTTGGAAAATGCGGAACGATAATCAATAATCGAAGATAGCCATTTGATTGTTCATGGCATTGGCAGTCTAATGGCGTTCACGGCATGTCTGTATGTCTATTCTGTGATTTTATATGATTTTTTGAACATATGCCGTTTTTGGTCGAAAACTCAGAAATCATGACGTCACTAAAACCTCAATATCTAAAAAATTTCCGACCGATTTTTTTTTGAAACTTTGTCACAATAAACTTCAATCAATTCCCTACAGGTACCTAAAATTTGGCGCGCCTGCGGCGCGCCATTTTTATGCTATGGCCCGGCGAAAAAAGTGGGGGCGTTTAACGCCCCCCCCCCAGCAACTCGCGGGCTAAAGGTCAAGGTCAGGTCAGTGACCTCGGTTGACCTGTAATGACTTCTTGCACTTGTATGCCTTTTCGGGGTATTTTGATGCCCTGAATTCGAATTTGCTATCCATTTCAGGCATCGTCGGTTGTTTCTTGTAGTTCATTTTGGGTCAGGGTCAGGTCAGTGACGTCACACGCCTGACGCGACCCAATGCACAAATGACCTTGCAGACTTCCGATGCTCCCAACGCATCATTTTTAGAGTTATGACATCGAAATACACACCAAACGATAGAGAATTGATCAAGGATCACGATAGTGAAGGTTTCAAGTCGATATCTCTTACCGTTTTGCTGCAATCGGCGCGGAAATCTGAAAAAGTTAGATTTTTCCGAAAATTTGACCTTTGATCGGTCATAAGTAGGTCAAATGTTGACCTAGGACCAAAAAATATACCACCAATCGCGAGATCTCGTTGAGAGCCATCCGTTGGTCTTTTCCGCTAAGCTCTACGACGCTCCGTTTTCAAACGCCAGGGGGGTCGCACCCCCCCCGCCCCTGCATGGGCGAATGTGGCAAAATACCGTTTACGGGCGAGGGTTATACGCAAAAACATAGATAGGTATGTAATTATGCATGTATGTATATACCTACAGCCAATCTTGAAAGTACCGCGCATCGGTGCAGTGGATCCTCAAGCGCGACTAATGGAGGACTGCTAAATTTGAGTCACCGACCCAATTGACCTGTGGGATGGTAAAGATGTCAATTGGTTCGGTGACTCAAATTTAGCGACCTTTCCTCGGTCGAAATTGATGGATCCACCGCACCGATGCGCGATACTTTCAAGACTGACTATACTTACAATGTTCATTATCCATCACTTACCCCGTTTACATGAGTCAGCGAAAATGTAACAGTAACAGAATGTAACAGAATGTAACAGTAACAGAATGTAACAGAAAGTAACAGATTCGTCAAGTCTATCACATTGACAGGAACGAAAGCGACCCTGCTAACATGTTGTTTAAAGTTTTGTTAACCATGTGTCAGAAAGAAATGTACCATATTTTTACGGAACTTATTTTGGTATGAGGCTATACGTCCTTTATTTAGTATGGAACAGGAACCTGAAGTCCGCTCGTCGGAACCCACTACCACTCTCCGGATACCGCCCGGACGTCGCCCGTCCCTCATCTTTTAGAGTGTGTGTAAGATGTTCACGCTCAGAGTCGCTCAGGTGTCGCACGTGATCAGTGTCCGTCGCCGGTGGCCGGGCCCTGCCGTGTGATGTCCGCTGATGTCCCTGCAGGGCGTGTCGGCTTCACTTTCCGCGGCGGTTCCGCTCTGGATCAGAGTGGGCGCCGTCCGGTCTCCCCGCGGCACGGTTATATAACGGCGCCGGGGTATATTTGTGACTATGTGCGCCCAACAGCCGGCCACATCCGTCTCAACTATCGATCCGGATGTCTCGAGACTGCCCGCGGGGTTAGGTCACCACGTGCCCGGGACTCTGCCATGGCGCAATGTCGACTCGGCGGCACGGCGAGCACGTGGCCCGGTCGCGTGCGCTCATGGAAAGTCGGCGGTGTCGGTCGGGCATCACATTCCGCCGATACTGCGCAGCAGTACCCGGGATGACCCCTTCATATCGTACGAACTTGCCACACATTCACTGACGATGAAATGCTTACCTTACAATATTACGTGACGTTATTGAAAAGTTGGAAGCCGGGCGGTGCAGGTTCAACTTGTCGGGCTGGTCTATTGGTGGATACTTCCACATGTTCGCATGGCCAGACCTGCACGTTATATAAGCACGGGTAAGACCAAGTCTGGTCTGCGGCTTATGATTCACCGGACCTGTTCTCAGCGGTTACATTATTGCCTATTGGATTGTTACCGCGTAGGTACGACAATGTGTCACATTCCAGAATGTGTTCAGCTGGGCCGTGCATGTCGGGCTCCACGTCCACTGGGCTTCCCGATATACAACACTCGCTGCCTTTTACTCTGAGGATGATCCTTTGCTGCTTAAATCACGTTTTTCTCTGCAGCTCTGTGTGTTGTGCTGAACAGAGAGCAAAGGAGAGTGAAATTATATATGTGTGCATGAGCTTTGAAGCTACAACATCTATATGCTACACCTATTTGTGCATGATTTGTGCGGTACAGTAGCGGCGGAACACCTTCAATTAGGGGGGGGGGGGGGGGGGGCACTGCCGACTTTTGGTCCCATTTTTTCCATGCATTGCCCATAGGGCTAATGCCAAAATCAAAGGGGGGCACGGTGCCCCGGTGCCCTCCTCGTTCCGCCGCCTATGATGTAAGCGTGCATGGTGCCCGAATAACTTCCCGTTAGGCGGCACGGGCGGACATCGATAGCAGCGCCTCTATCGGTCACTAGGGAAAGCTGGGCTGTAGGCGACGAAATACCGGCTGAGTTGTCACACGTTGAATAGGTTTATAGCCATCCGTCTTGTGAAAAAGTTGAACTTTTGCCTTTAATATTTCTACAGGCAATTTTAGAAGTGTCTTCACATGGCTTACAAAACCGTTTAGATTATTGTATTCACTTCAAGCCTTCCCTATTGTTCTTGATGATGCGGGAACTATTTCTAATTAGTGTTTCTAGCTTAGTAAAAGAACATACTGTGCAAACGATGAAAAAAACATAAGTGGAAGATTTTAAATGCAATTTTCTCTAACAATTAATGGTAAATTCTCTACATATCAAGGAAAAGGTGCATGCTAACTGATAATTTAAAGTTCTTGGGGCCAGTTGTTTTCTTCTTTTCTTGCGTCGCCCCAATGGCCGCGAATACACTTGTGATAACGCCTATCGCACCAGAAGCCTCGTCCGCCGGCGGGTTAGACTGTGCCGCAGTGCGCCGCCGCGCCGCCCGCCGGGATGCTGCACTCTGCAGTGAGTGCTCCGGCCGGTTCGCCCCGCCGCCGGCGCTGCACTGGCGTCAACGACCGGGCTGGGCGCTGGTCACCGCCGACCCGGCAGACTGCACTGCACTCTGCCAGCAGTGCCAGTCACCGGGCCAGGCAGGGAGCGCGTGAGACGGGCACACAGAGGGCAGAGCTCCAGACAGACATGTAGGCGGAGGAATCAGCCGGCTGGGGACGAAGATGGCGAAACAAGCTGACGAAGACGGCAAAACAAGCCTATGATGACAGTTATGCCTGTGGACGGATAACACTTAACCAGCAAACGGACGAGCAAGCGACGAGACCAGTTGCCAACAGCAGAAATTTCTAGAGCGCAGGCAAAACCGAAAATTTATGAGCCGGAGAAGGAGGACCAATGGAAGATGGACGAGGTCAAGTCGAGATCCAGCTGCTCGAAAGGATCAGGTGAGCTATTGTGTCGCACATGATACATGTTCGAGTACGTGGCTAATAAGGTGCAGTTTGACGAGCTGCAATGAAGTTGCGTTTCAGTTTTAGGGTCAACCTGCTGTAGCAAACAGAAAGAAATTGCTTAGAAATGCATGCCAGTGCGCTTAAGCTCAATTGTATGCAGGGGAAAGTGAGGTAAGACGGGCACCTTAACTTTGGAGCCATTTTTCGGCCGGTTAGAAGCATCATAGAAACGGGAAACTGAGTGAAAACCTTTTTTAGATGTTTTACTTCCATTTGCCAGAAGATGAGACTTAGACCTGATTCAACGAATAAACTGCAGCTATTTTTGCAAAACCTTGCAAAACCCCGTCTTAGCCCACCCCATGGGGTAAGACGGTCACATGGGTATGGCAAGACGGCCAGCTTCCTTCACCGACCAGCACAGCTCGCAACAAATGCCCGCGATTAGCCGCATTGATACAGTCGCTTGTTGGTCTCAAGTGCTTCGGAAATGGCAGTATACGAGATTCGTGCAGAAGGCGTATGCTCGTATATAAGCCCTTGTTCAGAAGCCATGTATAGAACCGTTTTTCACATTCATTATTCAAGAATAAACTGTGCCGGAGGAATATTGCTAACATGTCTGTGAGTATCGGAATCGAACATATTCTTATTAGAAATGCTTCTTTCAGGTGCTTCTTTCAGGCTCTGATAATATACAAAACAGGCATATAAGCAATTAGTGCAGCCCTAGCTGATAGCTACTAAGAGATACACTGAACCTAATTTGACCAAATCTGCACCTAATCTGCACCGAATGTGCACCGAATGTGTACCAGATGGCCGTCGTGAAAACGGCTATTATGTATTGTATATGCATGTCATTTGAGGCGAAACCAGCACACCATGGGCTGAGCTTTACTGTATTCGGAGTTAGTGTCATTCTTACATGGTTCGTGTTGAAAACAGAGAGCTAAAATGTGTAACCGTTAGCTGAAACCTCTTGAGGTGTTCCGTTGCAGCACGTGCAAAGTCCATTAGTCGCCAGGTGCGGCTCATTGCGGTGCCGTTATCCTGGAGAGATTTTCAGCCGTTATGTTTACTTTTTAATGCTCTAGTTTATCCCGGCTCTTGATTCCCACACCTGGCAGGCGAACTAAGCGCTGTGTGCAATTCATAAAACGGCTTAAATTACTTTTTTTTGCACGCCGCTTGATCTTAAAGCATTTATTTCCCTTCCTCATTGGGATGCACGCGATGCCAATCATCAGTTTAACGGTCCAATATGCTGAGTTAACGGGGGCAGATTTGAGCAAAAACAACCAAACCTACTCAGTTGTACCCATACTGTCACCCATACCCTACTATCACAAATGCTTTGCACTTTCATATGCTTCCCCCGCGTTTGCAGATTCTCTGTTGTGTGGCTGCAGCCTGGCGGCAGGCCGTTCTCGGCCGTTCCGGCGACTGGCCGTGCTCTCGGCCGCCGTGCTCTGGTCTCTGGGCGTGCTCGTGGTCGTGCTGCGCCGTCCCGACTCGTTGGACGTGCTCCTTCGCCCCGCCGCCACAACCATCAACGTCATACCCGCCTGCAAGTGAGCCTCAGAGTTTTATTGCTTCCGTAATGAGCTAAGAAATGGTTGCGTCGAAAAATAACCGAAAGCTTCCCTACGATATACGTAGCAATGCAGATCACTACCGTTCAAAACGCAGATTGCATATCCAAACGCAAAACTGTGTGGCATTTCTACTCTCAAACATTACACTCGTCACATGTCATTTAAACAACTCGTATAGGTACAATTGTTCAACGCATGCACATCGTTGGGCTGTGCACGAAGCCTGGCGGTGAAATGCAGTCCCTAGAACTAGTTTTTATTTAATTTGGTGATGATGATCAATGATCATAAGGTGATGATTATAATTATTTAGAAGTCGCACATTTGTCTGAACTTGATTCTTCCCCGGTACTTTGGTGTTCCATCTCCCCTGATAAATCGAAAATATGCCATCCTCCTGCCATTGGCCCCTGCCGATAACAATCCTCGATCCACCCCTGCCCCCGGCCCCCATCCCCCCCCCCATCCAGCCCCTCACTCTCGCGGTCTGTAGGCGTCCGCCCGTTCCCCCTTCCATCTCCCCGCCATAAACACACATGGTACGCGCCTCTTGATTGGCGGACTACATCGTGGTGTGATGTCCGATGACCTATCCGGTGACGCTAGAAATGGTGCGAGATTGTGCAATGTGTGATTCGGTGCATACCGGTCGAAACTCGAAGACTGTTCTGGACGCTCCAGGGTCGCTCAGTACTCAGTGGGCAGTGCCGCGCGCGGAAGCGGTCGGTGCGAAGCGTCTGTGCTCACGCGGGTGGTATCTGTGCTGCTGCAGCCTGCAAGGGACCGACGTAACGTGCGTCATGAAGTGCCAAACAAAGTGCCGTGCACTAATCTGCAAACAAGACAACCGGGTGTATGTCGAGCTACTTATTAGCATGCTCTTCGGAGCTGGATTTGGCATACTTATTGCCATGAACTTAAAGGACAGCCAGACCAATTTTGAAGAACATTACTGTCAGGCTAATAATCTGCAGAAGGCAGGACTGGACGTGGTACATGAAAACTTCACGAATCCGTGTCAGTCAGAAATAGTGCTCGATTTCACGATTGACGATATGAAGTATCCCCTGCTGGGAACGTTGGGAACGCAAGCCACCCTGGGCCTGCTTCTGTTCCTAACCGGTGCGCTCGCCCTGGCTGGCACTCGCCTGACTAAGGCCGCGCTCATGTGGCCTTGGCTAATCGTCAACGGACTCTGGGTGATCTGTCTCATCATCGAGATGATCATTCTAGGACGATTCGGTTTAAAAAACTACGCTGTGATTCTGCTCCCGTTTGCCCTGATCGCCGTCCTTTCTCTGGCGGATGTCGGCCGCTTCACGCGAAACATCCCCGTGGAAGTCGGAGCGTACCAACAGAAACCCATGCAAAGTGAAGCTCTTCCCATGCAAGAGTTGGGAGATGACGGCGCCCCCGCCGAGGAGACCTCCGGAGCGGTGTGACGTCATCATGACGTTACCAATCAGAACATTAGGCGGTGCGTATTGCTCTGCGACCTGTTATCTAGACAAGAAAGAATATAGTCTAGAAATACTTTTAATCAACCGTTAGCTGCAGTACCATGTATACCCATACCTAACCAGTAACCAGTAGCAGCCTTTCCTATGGTCACAGTTTTACCGTTTAATATTTGTGTGGTGTGCTGTTTGTGTCTTGTCTTAGCAATGCGCAGTGACTATGTGTGCTTGTAGTTACCTTCACCGTATACACTTGCAAGGTGCACGTGCTAATGGTAAATTATCGTGGTACCTACAGTGAATTTACACATATTCCCTATGCTTAAATATATTGTACACGGAATGAGCATATCATAATCGTACCTACTTCTTGCCCCTGCATTTTCTAATTTTCCACCACACATGTCCTTGATTTAGCTTCCTCATGCTGTCAGCTGCTGCGCTGATTGATGTTTCGGCTGATATCCCTGACCCGTATACATATACTCGTAAGTCGTACGGATATGGGACACCAGCAATTTTTCATTGGATTTACCCAACATGTTCCTTGTGTAATATATGGTGCACGTATCCAAGCTTTACGTGTGTTCCTCGCGGCACCGTTGCATATCGCATCCCTTACACTAGCTAAGTGTTCTGCATTCTGCACACACCGGTCAAGCGGGTTGTTTTTCACGTCCAACACTGCTGACGCAATATTTAGTCAGGCCGATACCACTGCAGGCTGCTGGTGCAATGTCCAAGTGAGAAATTTCAGAGTCAGCTATTGTGACAGCATAAGCCAAACCCACATGTCACATTGCGTCAGAAAGCCAAGCTGCAAATGCCTTTCGTGCATGGCCCGTGAATGTTTTTGTGTTCGTTATAAAGTCCATGAGCAGATCCTATGTTAGGTAGCAAAATACCAGAACGATACACTTCAATTTATACAAGAACGCATCGGTAAATCTCTCACGGAACATGTTACAGCACCGCACCAGTCACAAATGTGGCCGGTTTTCCTCCAAGCGCGGACTTAGCACGCTCTGTGGTTGGTTTTGCCTCTGAGTGCCGGTTACACGCGCTCGGTGGCCGGTTTTGCCTCTAACACCGCTCTGACACCCGTTTTGCCTGGTCCGCAGCCTGAGTGCCAGCGACGCTGCTGTGCTGTTCGATGAGCGCGACCTGGCCATGTTCCGGTTCGTGTTTGACTGGCTGGAGACGCCGACGGCCCGGTGTGACGACCTGCGCGTCTTCGGCGACAAGCTGGTCTGCTTCGACGCGCCGACGACGCTCAGCTCGTCGGACGCCTGTCTGGTGTACTCGTTCGGTCTGAGCGGCGACTGGGCGTTCGAGCGCGACATGGCCGCGCTCGGCTGCGAGGTGCTGGCGTTCGACCCGTTCGCCGAGCGGCGCCAGGACGCCATCACGCTGGGCGTCCGGTTCCGGCCCGAGGGCCTGCTCCACCAGAGCGGCATCCTGGGCGGCAAGCAGATGCTGACGCTGGACGCGGCGGCGCTGTCGGGCCACCAGGAGATCCCGGTGCAGTACCTGGCCGTGGACGTATCGGCGCGCGGCGAGTACGGCCTGCTGCAGCAGCAGATCACGGACCGCTACCGCGGCGAGTTTGTGCTGCACCTGGTGGAGCAGCTCTGGATGGAGGTGCACCTGCCCAGCTCCGTCACCCAGCTCCCCGACATCCTGGCCGTGGACACGCTGGAGCGCGCCTTCCAGGACCTCGGCCTGATGGGCTTCCGACTGGTCTACTCCGCCCCGGACCTGAGTGAGTCGGCCGAGCTCTACTCGTACCCGGGCGTCGACAGACCCGTCTACCTCGTGCACCACGTGCTGCTCGTGAGGATGGGCCCCGACATCTGGTCTCGCCGCAACCGTGCTCAGCTCAGCCGGCTAGAGAAGAGATACGGCTAGTCAGAGCCGCCCGTTCAGGTTGTTGCAGGCTGGGACGGTGGACGAGGGGCGCGTGGGAACTTTGAATCGAGTTGTACATATAGTGATGACTTTAATTAAGATAAGCGTGAGGCATCCGCGCCGTTCGCGATGTCTCTGTGTCAATGACACTGAGTCATTTTGTGGTAAGTGTGTGCGTGAACTGAGCATGTTGCGTCAAGTGGCGCAGAATAAGAGACAGTTTGACGAATACCATGGATAATAGCAGTTGACGAAATAATTGTCGATAGGACGTTCCACGAACTTTTTGGCAGGGTCTTGCCTGAAAAAAACATTGGAGAGATCAAACCACCATTGATACACCGTTAACGTGATCACATTTTTTGCATATATGAACTGCCATGATGACGTAACAGATTTTTGTTCAACTTTCTCAGCCGGCCTGTGTCTCAACATAGTGGATGCCCCGATGCCCCCGCTGACTCACAGGTTGTGCCTTGTGGCCTCGGTAGCTTAGTTCATTGATGTATTGCGTAACGTATGTTGTGGTCTTATTATCCCTTTAGCATTGTTCCTCCGCTGGTTGAGATCGACTGTTAAATGCATTACTACAACGTTCCGACTTTGTGTCACTTTTACATGAACAAAACAAATGCACATTTTAAACGGTTTCGCAGCCGATGCCAAACACAAAATCGGCATTTGTACTGCACAGTTCACGTGCAGATGCTGGGCAGCTGCGGCTGCACTGAGTGGTTGTGACCGGTCTCACTGGATCCAGCGGCCGATAGGTGGTGAGCCGGTGCCAGCAGGCTGACAGGCGCTGTCACAGGGGACAGTCGGTGCAGCCCCAACTGCCGGCCGCCTGTCACCCTGACAGGTCCCGGGTGACCCGAGGCCAGTAATTGCGTCAGTACAGACAATACGCCGTGTCATGCTGCATAAACACGCTTGAAAGGGGACACATTTGAAACCGTGACCATGGATTAACCCGCGCCCCACTGGGGTCTGCGTATAACACGCCCTACTGGGGGGGGGGGCTATTCATAGCCCCCCCCATCCTAACTCCGAAACTACTGGACCGATCGTCAAAATTCAAACGGCGTCTGATAGCCCCGGAAAAACTGTCGAGCGAAACCTAATTTCATTGACCTCAAGGTCACCGATGACGTCACAGGTCAGGTCAAAGTAAAAATTATTAGCATTTTGCCTTGTTCACGTTTTGGGCTCTGGCCGCCGTCTTACAAGTCAGATCAGGCTCATTTTTGGATCACACACTCGGGAACAGATGCTCTAGTTACCCTGAGGGTACCAAACTTGTACTCTGATTTTCAGGTCAAGGTCAGGTCATCACAGGTCACGAAAATATTATATCATGCGTCGGTCACGTGACACATGTTTTATGGTCCATTTAGGTCAGAGATTTCGAATTTGAAGTCGTCTGTGTCATTCGAGGTCATTTTGAGTCGAATTTAGCTTATGTTAGGTCACTTTCAGGTCAAAAAGGTCAAATTTTGAAGTTGAAATTTTTCAACAAAAAGGTGTCTATTGGATGCAGTTTGAGCTCAGGAACACGATGGTGTTATTTATATTGGCGTACGATGTCAAATACGTGGCGAAAATTGATTTGAAAAATTAATTATTGTGAATTTTTTGCAATAATGCGTAAAATTTGGTCATTTTTGAAGATATTTAGCTAAAACTTGCTAGAGTTAGTCATCATAATGCGTTCTATCACATATATTCCGGTTTTTTTCGAAAAGTCAAAAACTTTTTAAACGTAAAAATATAAATTTTGGGTATTATTATATTAAATTTTCAAAATTTTCAAAATTTCGAAAATCCGAGATGGCAGTTTGATAGCGCAATCTATTCTGAGTCCTCTCATGCAAAGAAATTGGATCTAGCTTAAAAACTGAGCAGCGATTGCCGTGGTTCAATGTTTTGCGTCGAAATCGGCCGAACATGACGTCACTCTGACGTCATTTCCGGCCGACCTATAGTAGGTACGAAGTTCACATTTTGACACTAGATGTCAAATTGATGCAGCCTAAGGTACTGAAAATTTGGCGTTGATACGTCAAGTGGTTTGGAAGTTATTGCAGAAAAACGGGAGGGGGGGCTATAAATAGCCCCCCCCCCCCAGTGGGGCGCGGGTTAACCCTCGCCGGCCGAGGGGGGGGCGGGTGCCGCCCCCCCATAGGGTTTTTTTCGCGATAGCTCCGAACACGCTGGCGATAGAGAGCTGAAACTTGGCATACCTGACCTTTGATCCAAGCCGGATCTTTTGACACCAACCGCATTTTTGGGTCAGGTCAGGTCACTGACCTATGACGTCATAAGTGAACCTCTGCACGGTCTTCAGATGTCGCAACTTCGCAACGCCCTCACTGCCAGAGGAGATGTCACAGGGAAATGAAACTTGCAGGATCTAGTATCCATTATGAGTCCCACAACTTGTATATCTCGGATTTTTCCTAAAGGTCATATGAGGTCAGGTCATTTTCGTGACCTCACCATTATAAGTCAATGGGGAAAAATGAAAACTGCTATTCTGGCGCCGGGAACGATCTCCAACTATCTCAAGCACACAGAATCGTGATTTGATGCACTCCTTGCAAGGTTAGATGCGTCACTTTTGCAATGTTGACCTTGCGTGACGTCATTTATGACGTCATCAAGGTCATATTAGTTTTTCGTCAATAACTCTTGATCAAATTGAGCTAGCGAGTTGGGAAAGCCACCAATGGACTCAGGAAGACCTGCCGAATCGAATGATATGCGACATGACCTCTTTCGACCAACTTCGTGACCTGGGGGTGCTGACCTGACCTTGACCTGAGGTCAACACCCCAAGTTGACCTGACCCGGACAAAAAGTATATCATTCGACGTGCCTGAGCGAGACGAACACGATGCTGCCAAAATCGGCGCTCTGGGGCCGTTTTTTGCGAAGTTATTCACCAAAAACTGAACCGTACCTTGGGGCACTTGACCTGACCTCAGAGGTCACCGGTTGACCTAGGACCTTAAAATCGGGTACCAATCTCTGCGTCTCGTAACGGCGCACACGCTCGTTTTTTCCCCGACGCGCTAGCTCCACCAGGGGCGAAACGGCGAGGGGGGTCGTACCCGCCCCCCCCCCCCCTCGGCCGGCGCGTATGTAGAAAACCAATAGGTCCGGCGAGGGTTAAGGCACGTGCGTGCATATGTATAAGGAGTTGATCCGATATTTCGTGCAGATGTCTCGAGGAGCATTTTGGTTTAAATGATTTCATTTTGCAGTCGGTTGCCTGTTAGCACACTAGTGAACAGTTATGATCAATACCCAGAAAAAAGGCAAAGGAAGCATAAACAAACATGTTTGTCAAATAACACGGCATGGTTTGCACGGATAATATTTGTCGGTTTACAATGATGTTAGCTTTTCTGCTTCGATGAAATGGATGTTATTACGGAGCGAGCGAAGCGAGCGTAGTCTTTCCTTAGATTAACGGAAATTTCTGAGTATGAGCGGCCGGCCGGCCGGCCGTGGTCACGCTTTTGCGAGGCTTATATCTCAGCAACCACTTGACCGATTTACACGCAGTAATTTTTGTAGGGTAGCTTCATTCCTTCTTCCAAGTATTGGACTATTCCCGATGCATGTGGGTGACCCCTTATGCACGTGCCACGTGCAAAACGAAGAGGTGTCAGTTTTGTAATTGTTGCAATATCTCGGTAACTACTTGGCCGATTGCGCTGAAAGTTGGCATGTAGGTAGGCACCCACTAGGCACTGCATATACATGTGCCAGAGTTGGGGTGCTGCTGCACGTGCGCACGTGCAGGGGTCGTTTCCAGATCTCGGGAACGGCTGGACCGATTGCGCTCAAATTTGGTACACGGTTAGGGACCGGTTAGTAGGGTGCCGTGCACAAGTCAGTTGGGACCCATCTTGCACGTGCGCACGTGCAGGGTGCCACTTCCAGATCTCGAGAAGCTGGGCCGATTGTGCCCAAATTTGGCACATCGCTAGAGACCAGTTAGTAGGGTGCCGTGCACAAGTCAGTTGGAGGTACCCCTTGCAATTTCGCACGTGCAAGGCCCACCCTCTCGCTCGCTCCGTTAGTCGCCCCAAAAGGCGTTATACTGGTATATACGTAGCATCGGCTTCTTTACATTAGCATATCACATGCGGGCGCTCTACATATGTAGACTTTCAGATGCCTAACGGTTTGAAAAATGAAGAACAAATTGACGTAGTAATCCCTTGGTTATCTCGTAAAGGGAGGCGGTATAGATAAATGAGAATAGCACGTGGTGTTGTAAGTAAAAGCTATACCTACATAGGTACCTATGAGTTAACCCTCGCCCTGGCAGGGCATTTTTCATAACACGGCCTGGCAGGGGGGGGGGGGTCGATGCGACCCCCCTCACGATTGGCTCTTATGGCATATAGAAACACTAAATTTGGTAGGTAGGTTAGCCCCCTAGAGTTCTCGCCCCTGTGCAAATTTGGTTGCTCTAGGTCATTATTTAGGTTTTTTTGGGGGTATAAATGTAAAAATTTCGCTAAAAACAGGTCAAAAGTTTTCGCTTATAACTTTTGATCTAGATAAGATAGAGCCAAAAGCAAAGCACCAGTGAACTCAGCACGTCAAGGCGCGTCGAATGATATGCTCTTTTGCTAGCTTACGTGTACTTAAAGTTTTTCTTAATTATTAAGTAAACTTTAATTTATTAATTAAGTTCAAGCATAGACCTCTGTACACCAGAGGTCAGAGGTCTATTGTTCAAGTTAACCAAATTGCATCATATCGCACATCATTCGATTCGGCTGATCACCAGGAACACAATGACACCAGCTCTAGCGTCATTATGTACCAAGTTATTGGCAAAAACGTCATTTGACCTCAGGTGACCTCATTTGACCTGACCCAAGGATAAGTACACCAAAAAAAGAGGCACCAAGTGACCTGCTGTTAAGTACTGTCGTTTCAAAGCACAAAAGTGATAGAACGAAGCGGATATCTCCAGTATTTTCCGAATTTATTATTTTCCTATAGGCTTAACATTACGACGTAATGACCTCTAACTGATCTCTGGGCCCGATTTCACCAAGTGAATATATTCTTGGTGTACTTTGGAAAAGTACACCGACAAAGTACGACGATAATACTATTCGGTTTCGCCACAGGAATATATTCAATACGCCCGCTTTACGTACTTTGGGAGCCACCGGCGCGCATGCATATATCTTTTTTTTTTTGTCGGGGACATGCAGTCACTATATTTTTCCGTATTTAAAGTCGACGAGCTTAAATGCTCAGATATACAATATTATGGAAAAAATTTCTAGCTACGCTAATAAGAATTAAATTTGCTGATCATACAAGAGGAAGTACCTAAACAAATATTGTTAATAATGCTCTTGATTTTTGCTGGGAGCATGACATTCCAAAGCCAAAAATGTAAACAATCGGCAGCAAGCCGCGCAGCACAGTTGACGTTACTGGCGTGTGTGGGTTTTATTGGATTTTGAATTGATATTAATTTTTTCTTCCAAGTTACTTCTCATTAGATATTGCTTCAATATTTGTTCACATCTTCTACGCAATTCTGGAGTGGTTCAAAGCAAA